ATTGCTGAACGTGTGCTCGCAAAATGCAAGGAAATTTCATTGGCACAGTTTGAGTGTCAGAGACTGAAAGGATTTTTGATTGTATTTCACAGGATTGTTTCAGGCAGCTGCTTTGTAATAGTGAACGTACGTATATTTTAGTAGAGTATACACAGACAAATAGTTGCACAGCTGCATTGTAACAATTATTTGCTACTGATAATAAGCTGCTATCTCTGTACAGGTGCCATAAGGAAAACCATTAAGATTGTTGATTGCCAGTAAAGATTGTCAGTTTCTGACTGATAAATTCAGTTCAGGAATTCTGGCTTCTGATAGAATCCGCCTGAAAAAGGGAAAGGGGGAAAAAAAAAGGGGCTATGTATAGTTTAAGAGAAATTGGAAATGTGGGCAGGAAGGTGGGGAAATGAGATGTGGAAGGAAGAAAGGTGTTCTGAGTATTTTGGTTGTGAATGGCATTTTGAAGTGATTCGCAGTAAGATGTGGGAGCACTGTTATTCTAAACCTGGAGCTCTTCAGCAAGACCTTTATTTTTTTGTTAGCTGTGTTAGTTTATTATGAAGAGGCACTCAGCCCACTCAAATAAGCATTCTTTGAAATTTTTTAACTTGAAGCTGTGTCTCCATTAGCATTTGTACAATGCTTTGATATGCAGATTATTTTCACTGGGAAGAGGAAACAAGATAGCAGGCCTGTGTGGGTGTTGAGAATACTGGAATTGCATGTTACAGAGTTCTGGGCAAGGCATAAAGCACCTAGGCCCCCAGTTTGGTATGGACACAAGGATGTGGTGGCACCAGGAATAGCCAGTAGCAACTCAAGGGTACAAGCACCAAATTTCATTCTTGCAACAGCTTAAAGGTGCATTGTGTTAAACTGGAATTGTCCTCCTAAGGCACCTTTATTCTTGGACCTTAATTTTTTTTATTCAGCATAGACATTTCTCTATTTAGAGAAAATCCTAAAGGATTTTGGAGTCTTGTGAAATAAATGCTTAGGTTAGTGCAGTTGGTTTACATTCACAACTGGTGTGTACATCGAGGTAGCGCTCTATGGCAGCTGCAGTTCTGACAACCCCTCACATCATTTTCCTGTGTTAACTGTTTGTTCTGGTTGAAGGAATGTAATTCAGAAATATGTAACACTTAAAATTGTTTCCTTATTTTTCTTAATTGCACTGAACTGATGAAAAGTGTCAGGAACCTCATCTCATCAATTATAATTGTTATCTCCTCAGCCCCATCTGAATGAGCTGATGACAAAGAAGTGGTTGTTGGGGTCTAATGCTGTGGGAACTATTTGTGTCACTGTAGAGGATTATTTTAATGACTTTGCAAAAATAAAAAAGCCTTATAAAAAGGTAGGTGCAAAATGTTCTATGATACCTTGCTAATATACTCTGAATGTCCTTTTGGTTGGGTTTTTATGGATGCTGTATGGAATGTAAAATTGGGACACAGACGTTGAAATTCTGAATTGTTTCATGACTGGAAATTAAACTGTAATCGTATTGCATTAGTCTGAATTGAGCATTTCTCATCTATTTTGTTCACAGCCATCTGATGTTTTTAGAGATTAGACTTGCAGGACTGAATACAGAAAATATATTGTAATATTACTAAATTGTATTCTTACCAGCTTGAATTTTTCTACCTCACATCAGAAGTTTATAGATAGATATGTGATTAGATTTGTTTGCCTGCAGTTATTTTTTCCTTGCGCACTTAATGTATTGTTTTAATATGTACATTAAGATGGGAAGGCGTTGTTAAGTTGGCAACATGAGGTTGACCAAATGCATAATGCATGTTAAAAATGACATAGCAGTATGTAGGTGATCTTAACATATTTTTCCCGTGGTCTGTCAAAGGTTTTTTTTTTTTCCTTTAGCCTTGAAATTTTTAGTTTTATTCTTCTTAGTTTTGTCCTTTACTGAATTAAAGTCAATTTGAGTGTATTTAAGATAGCGTGTCTTAAAATTACTCCCAGCACTTTAGGAAATACTTGAAGCTAGCAAGATCAGGATTTACATGAGGCCTTTGAAGAAATTCTTGGGAGAGTTTGTAAGATACAGAATCATACGGTTATTCTTTCTTACCTGAGCTCCTATGGAGATAGAAGGGACTGCTTAAAATTTCTCTGACCTTTTTACGTGTTCATCTTCAGGATCTAGAGATACTGGAGGCCTTGAAGTACGTGAATTATAAGAATTTTCAGTCTAGAAAAAGTATACAAAAGAAGTGAGGTGGTCACAGAACTAGTCTGTATCCATGGAACAGTTTTCCAGGACTGATTTGTTACTGTGAGGTAATTGTGCTTGACACGAGCTTCTTCAGTCATCGATACCAATCTCAGAGATCACGTGTGTTTCACCATGTAGTGTTTATTGCCACCTTAGGGAAAAAAAAAAGTCAAACACGACTTTTGGCATTCATTATACCTGCTATTTGATTGCGGCCCAGCACAAGTTTCCTAGACTGCACATCTGATGTTCCAGCATCGGTAGGACACGCTTGTCTTTCCCTGGAGTTAAAACGTTTTTGATTAACTCAGTTCTGAAAGTTCAGGTTTTTAAAAGCTGTGTGAACAGAGCAGGTTTTCACTTCTGTTAGCATCATGGAAATCTGAAGCCATTCCAAGTATGTTATATTAGTGAAAGCCGTACGCTGGTGATAAAGCACAAAAACGTGTTTCAGAGCCTGATTGTTGCTCTGAATGGGGACTTTGGCAGTTATTGCTGGCATAAGCCACCACTTCTTTCTTTCAGACGATGACTATGGAGGCCCATCGAAGGGTGGTTGTGGAGTACATCAGGGCGATCATGTTAAAACGTATCTCTTTCAAGAACGCAGAAGAGAGAAAAGAGGGCGCAGAAAAAATGATCAGAGAAGCCGAACAGTTCAGATTTCTGTTTAGGAAGCTTGCATCTGTGAGTATCTGTTTCAATAGCGATGTTAACTTGGTAATTTATAACAATTTTGAATTAAAACACATTGCTATGTGCTAATTGTTTGAATTAAAACACATAGTCAGTAACAAGAATGCCATGTGGGGGCATGGACAGAGTTCATGAACAAACACAAGCCCACTACTAAAGCAGTATCTGAAGGGCCTTGCAGTGGCACATTTTTACATAAACTTTAAGGGCAGACCTGGCTTTCACTTCAGTTGTTTGTAATGTTTGTGTTGCAGATTAGCAACAGTTATAGACCAGAATGCAGAGTTGTGTGGATAAATACAACATGTTTGTCAGATGTGGCTTCCTTTACTGATACTCTGGAGATAATGACTGCAGATGAGGAGGAATAGGGAAATGCAGAAAAGAGGCTTAATGTGACAATTCACAAACATTTTTGTCTTAATGGCTAAAGTTTCCACTCTTCAGGGAATTAAACAGCATTGTCAGACAAAATAAGAATAATACTAATTGAATAGTTGTGTATAATTGTGATATTGAGGGGGGGGTTGCTTTCTTTAGTCATTTTTAAATTATTGTTTTTTTGTTTTTTTTTGTTTTAATTATTATTTTCCAGGGATCTGGAGAGGACACTGAAGGACTTTGTGATATCATTGAAGCCATTGCAGAGGTTATCAAACTAACTGACCCTTCCCTGCTCTATCTGGAAGTTTCAACTTTAGTCAGTAAATACCCAGATATCAGGTAATTCTCTTTGCCTTCAAACTCAAAATAGATAATATCCTAGTTTGCTTGTAACAATGGGATAATTTTAAAACAATGCGTAATGTGTTCATATTAATTAGATTTTGAAATGTGGCTGCTTTTTTTTAATAATGCTAATAGCAAATGCACATGTTTTGGACTAGCAGGTATATGCATTTAAGTATTGGTATGGCAAAGAAACAATGAGACTATTCCCATTGTGTTTTGGGAGGGTGAAATGCATCCTAGATTCCTGAGCATCGCCAGAAAATAGTGCCTTATAGATAGCTGAAAAAGCCAGTTCTTTGTGACCAGAGGTCTGATTAAGAATTAGAGGTCCACGCTGAATGTGCATGAAAGGATGATCTGTGCTATTTCTAGCACAATGTTACTTCTGCAAGAACCAATGCCAGCCTTACCTTTTTTCTTTGGCAGGGATGACCACATTGCAGCTTTGCTGACGGTGAGAGGAGATGCCAGCAGAGATATGAAGCAGACTATCATTGAGACTTTGGATCAAGGGCCGAGCCAACCCAATCCAAATTACGTGCCAATTTTTAAAGAAATTACAGTTCCTACTCTAAACGTGGCAAAACTTCTTAAGTAATGGACGGCTCTGTTCATGTGATATTACTGGCATGGGTTGACAGGTGTGAAATAGTGAAATGTTTGAGGGCGAGTTTGGCAGTGCTGTTTCAAGTAACGTCCAGTGCGCACTAGGTATGTTTCTTTCTCAAGGTCGGGATATGGGATGTAATCAGACTTCTGCAGGTGGTGATACTGCTCTAGCAAATACATTTCTAGTCATGAAATATGGCATTGCAAACGTATGAAGATACACTGAAAATAACACAGCTGTGGCAGTGCTGGGTGTGTATTGCTCTTCCAGAGCCCTCGTCCCATGGCACAGCATTGGGTGTACATTAACCTCCCCATTCCACTCCCACCTTATGCTTGGTGTATGTAATTACTTTGGTGTAAAATAGTTTATGGCAAAAACCTTAATTATGGAGCCAGCTTCCTGACCGGGGGGCTGTAGAGGGAATCAATAAATAGCTAAGAAGGGCATGAGGTACAAAATGTCTTCTTTGTGGATTCCCTAAAAAGAGCACACGAAGCGCCACTTGTTCAATAAAACGCTAAACCACGGCCGCGTTCTGCTGTGTGTCCTGTGTTTTGGCTGAGGAGGGAACGAGCTTTACATTTAAAAGTTAATTTTTACACAGTAGGCCGCATCGGCTTCTTGTCGCCATGGCGACGGGCGTCACGCGCCTTTTCTCGTGCTTCCCGGCGTGGGCGCGGTCTGGTGACGTCACTCCGCGCCCGCTCGGCCCGCCCCCGGAAGCGGAATAAAGCTCGCGCTGTCCGGGCTGGGGCGGCCGTTATGGCTGCGCCTCATGGAATGGGGCTTCCCGATCCCTCGTTCTTGTGGAACGTCTTCCAGAGGTGAGGCCGCGGAGGGCTCGGTGTCGCTCGCCGAGCTGGTACGGGGAGCGAGCGGGCTTTGGGAGGGGGCTGGACGCCTCTGACGGGCGCTGGGCGTCGGCCGAGTTTTGCGGCTGCGTTCCCGCGGCGGGAATCCAAGGGAGAGCTGTAAGGAGGGCTGGGGGAGGCGGGGTAGAGCGAGGGAGGTTACCTGCTGGGAATCCGGGAGTGCCGCAGTCTGTGGAGGGTGAAGAGCCTGGGGAAGCTCGTCCCTCGGGCCCGTTTTGTGGGAGATGTGTCAAAGGGTCCGGCTGGGCTCCGGTAACAGGGAGGCCGGGTATGGAGTAAGCGGGCTCTGGGTGTGTTCAGACTGGGGAAGAGAAGGCTTCGGGGGGGCTTTCTGCTACCTGGGAGGAGCTTATATGCAGGGGGGAGGCTGACTTTTTACACCGGTAGGTAGTGATAGGGTAAGGGAGAATGGCTTTAAACTAAAGGAAGAGTGATTTAGATCGGATGTTAGGAGGAAATTCTTCGTTCAAAGGGCAGTGAGAGGGTGCTGGCACAGCTGCCCAGAGAAGCTGTGGTGCCCCATCCCTGCAGACACTCAAGGCCAGATTGGATGGGGCCCTGGGCAGCTGAGCAGCTGGGGGGCAGCCCTGCCTACAGCACAGGGTGGGGCTGGGTGGGATTTGAGGATCCTTCCAACCCAAGCCATTCTGTGATTCAAAGAGTGCTAGGTTTGGATCAGCAGTGAGTAAGAGTTACTGCCTGGCCTAATACAGGAGTGACTCAGAGAGGTGACAGTTGTCCACCACCCTTGTGTAAAAGCACTTTATCTGAGAACTTGAAGGAAATACGTGTGATGCTATTTCCCAGTTTCAGCTGGTCCAGAAAGAAGCAGGTGGACTTTCTGCCTTCTCCACCAGTAGGACCATTTTAAATAATGCAGCTAGCAAGGCTACCACTGTATGAGTGTGTTGGACAAGGGACTGGTTATAGATATGGATAAAACTGCTACAGTTTATGTAGTCCAAATAGTTTCCAAAGAGGCTTTCGACATAAATAAGCATCAAACAGCTTTAGAGAAATCTGGCAGGCATAGAATGAAAGGGAAAATCCTTTGGTGTATAAATAACTGGCTGAAGGGGAAAGCATGTGGTTTTCTGTTGCACTGATAGATGCAGCAGTTCTGGGATCTTTGTTCAATACATTCAAGAGCATCTTAGGGGAACAGAGGGTAAATGATCAGCTGAAGCACAGGCTTCAGTTTCTAGTTACACATACTAATGTTTGGGTATTTTTAAGGCATCTGTTTCTTTTTCTACTAACCAAGCACAAATGCGCATTCCAGATGTCGTGGCGAATTCTTGCAGCAAGAGCTAAGCCTGTGAAGGCTTGGCAGGAGCACCTTGCAGTACTCAGTGCCCAAGCCGTGTCACCTTCACGGTTGGATCCTAATTGCTGTATTGTGGGTAGCTGAATTCCAGAATAGATACCTGGTGGCTGTGAGGAAGATTCGTGGAATTGTAGAATTGCTCAGGTTGGAAAAGACCTTAAAGATCATCGAGTCCAATCACAACCCACACAAATGTGCGCAGGAACTTCTTTACAGTGAGGTGACGGAGCACTGGCACAGGCTGCCCAAGGGAGGTGGTGGAGTCTCCTTCTCTGGAGATGTTCAAGACCTGCCTGGATGCCTACCTGTGCGACCTGCTGTAGGGAACCTGCTTTGGCAGGGGGCTTGGACTCGATGATCTCTGGAGGTCCCTTCCAACCCCTACAATTCTGTGATACTATCCTAACTCTAACAGCCCCCTGCTAAATCATGTTCCTGAGCACCACCTCCAAATGGTTTTTAAACACATCCAGGGATGGGGACGCAACTACCTCCTTGGGGAGTCTATTCCGGTGCTTAACAACCCTTTCTGTAAAGAAGTTTTTCCTGATATCCAACCTAAACTTATCCTGGTGCAACTTGTGGCCATTTCCCCTTGTCCTGTCACCAGTGAGAAGAAACCAACCCTGCTCTTGCTGTAAGGACCTTTCAGTTATTGGAAGACAGCGATAAGCCTCCCCTCAGCCTCCTTTTCCCCAGACTGAACAGCCCCAGTTCCTTCAGTCTCTCCTCATAGGGCACATTGTCCAAGCCCTTCACCAGCCTTGTTGCCCTTCTTTGGACCTGCTCCAGCACCTCAATGTCCTTTCTGTACTTAGGTGCCAAAACTGAACACAGTACTTGAGGTGAGGCCTCACCAATGCTGAGTACAGGGGCAGGATCTGCTCTAAGCTGACTGATGGTCGAGAACAAGATAAGCAGATTGTAACTCTGCTAGGCTTACATGGCAAAGTTTGGTAGTGGGGCTTGGGGTGGCTCTGTGAGCAGAGCCCCGTGCTGCTCATGTCAGCTCAGAGCAGCCCCAGCTGCTACAAAATGACCCTCTGCTTTTGCACAGGGATCAGTGAGGCAGGACTTTGGAATGGTTGGAATGGAGAGGCAGTAAACTGGCAGGTGCAGGGGGAAAGCCCTTGTGTGAAACAGAGGGAAGCTGCCTCCTTGAGTTATGCCCAAACAGTTCTGTTGTCAGTGTGTTTGTGTGTCACGCGTTCTTATGGAGAAAACTCAGAGCTTTCTTAACTCATATCCAGAATGTCTTATCAGTGTGAGTGAAGCATTTAATTTGCAGTGGCTGTGACTGACTAAAAAATGATTTACTTTTTTTTTTTTTTTTAAGATGAATCCTATTTGCATTTTATTTGGTAAGAACAGAAATGCTGAGGCTTGTAGCTACATCCTGTTAATTTCAGCAACTTAAAGCATGCCACTTTTTCTCCCCTCCTCCAGGGTTGATAAAGACAGGAGTGGAGTAATCTCAGATACAGAGCTTCAGCAGGCACTATCCAATGGTAAGTAAGTCTGTAAAGGGGGAAGGAGGCCTATTGTGGACTTCATGCTACATTTCATGCCAGTCTGACTACTTGACTCATTTGTTCTTGACTTTTTGCTCCGCGCTCATCTCCACTGCACCTCTCCTTCTGAACCAGAGCAAAGGTCAGACATTTACAGCCAGCCTTTTTCCTGCACGTGAGAGCTTTTCATTCAGTACGGTGCAGGAAGTGAAGGTGGCAATTTTTTATTTTTAAATGAGGCATTTTTCTTCCCACTTTTTTTCCTAACCAAGTAGAAAGGTGTACTTCAGACCTAGCTTGAATCGCTAACTAGGGCACCGTCAAATAACTCGAGGAAGCCAAATAAAAACAGAAGACTTTTTTTTCCGGTAGTCACATTTTCCTTCCTTCTGGTGATTCGGGGTGGTGGTGTTGGTTTTTTTTCCAGAATATATCCTCTGTGGAGGGTTGTGCGTCACAGTCCAACATGGGCCAAAAGAATGTAATACTAAGAAAGTATTCACTGTTCTCACTGTATATTGAAGTTCAATGTGTTCTTGACAATCAGCTTTTCAACATGTCAGATTTATGCAAATAGCAGTATGTGTATCTGGGAAGGGTGGGTTATTGCATAGTAGAGTTATTTGCATAGTAAAATCCTGTGCTGCCTCGTTGCCTCTTGTTGTTTTATTTTCTCTCCTGCGCTGACATGCCCAGGTATTTGTTGTGTCAGGGGAGGAGGAGGCAGTCTGTTGCTGGCTGGCTGAACAAGCTGAAATCAGTGCAGTTCTTCAGCACTGATGTTGCTATGGTTTCTCTGTATGGAATCTGTCTATTGAAATTTTCTACATGAAATAAGTTAACATACTCTGCTCCTTAGAACTCCGCAGTGTTTCCAACCCAGTGAAAACTGGTCCAAAGCAAGTAGCCTTTCCACATTCAGTAGCAGCTGTTCACAGAAGTCCAAAGCTCCTCTTCACATGGCTGTGCTCAGGCCTGTCTAAGCAGTAACATTTCTTGGCCTGAAAACGCTGATTTAAACAATGCTTTTAATTCAGCATGGAGAGGGGATTTATACAAAACTCAACTGTTGCATTGTGTAGCCCTGTGATGTTAAGAACCTGTGCTTTTCACTCAATGTCCTGGAGTGACCCATCTGTAGAATAGGAAATAGTCAGATTTTTAGTTTCACTGATGAGAAACGAGTGAGACTCCCGACAACCTGGGAAGAAAAAACTTATTCTTGGCTCTTCTAAGGCTTTGGTTCTCAGCTGGATTTTAGTTTGCATTTTGGGTTGTTGGTTTTTTTGTTGGTTTTTTTTTTTTTTCAGCCTGAAAAATGTTGGGTTTCTATGCAATATCAGTAAAGCATTGTCAGAAGTCATCAAGACCACAGTTACTTCAAAGCAGCTTTGTTAAACGTCGAGGAGCTGACTTGCTTAGCTCAGAATTCACTACTTATGGTTCTTGTGGGTTTTTGTTTGCTTGTTGTTCAGTTGCCTTTTTTGAATGTTGCCTGGAGGAACAAAGTAATTCTTTCTGTTTCAGGCACGTGGACTCCATTCAATCCAGCGACAGTCAGGTCAATTCTTGGTGAGTATGGCTGCGTGCTGTGAAGTAGGCAAAGACTCTGTTGGTTTTTCAGCTCCAGTTTGAGAAAGCAGTTGTTGCAGACTATTTTCAGAGAAACAAATACATACAATTATCACAGTACTTGTACATTATGTTTTTCTATTGTAAAGTTGAAGGCACATTTAAAGGTCTGATGAACCAGTCTGGTTGTGGTGTCGGTGAGCTGATCTGCGACTGTAAAGAATCCATGGTTTTCTCAGTCTTGTTCTTTTTTCCTCAGTAGTTGTAAGATATGAACTGAAGTATTGACCCTTTTGAACTATAAATGAATGCCCTGTATTTAAAACTTGCTCAGCAGCAGTCAGAATTCCATCCAATGTGCAATGCAATCTCCGTGAAGGGGATGGTATCTGTAATCAATGTTCCAATGCTTCTGGCAGTCTGTAGATGTTGTAGGCTTTCTCATGGGTCTTAAGAAAATGAGTCCTTTCTCATTTTGTCACTGGATTATCAGTCAAAGCCTGAATGCTTTGAAATTGGAAATGAAAACACAGGAAAAATAAATATTCTGTAACTCACTCTGATTTTCTTGCTTTATCCTTTCCTCCTTTGGTGAATGACTTAAATGTCACTTTAGTAATTCCTCGCGTGTTTTCAGTACTCCCTAAAGCACTCGTTTCTTTCTTAAAATACCAGCAGACCTTCCTCCAGACTTGGCAGAGCTGAGGTTCTTACATGGCTTTCTTTTTTTATTTCAGGCATGTTTGACAGAGAGAACAAAGGTGGTGTGAATTTCAATGAATTCACTGGAGTCTGGAAGTACATCACAGATTGGCAGAATGTCTTTCGAACGTATGACAGAGACAATTCTGGAATGATTGACAAAAATGAACTAAAGCAAGCACTAACAGGTTTTGGTAATTCATTTGTAATTACAGTTTTTATGATTGGACTACGTCATCGAATGACTTTGGTATTGTTGGGGCTCTACTGCTGGGACCCATGATTAGAAATAGAAACGAGACATGTGAAAGGCAGCAGGACGAGGGGCCTCTTACTGACACTGCCACAGTTGCAACCCTGCATTGTTGGCTTGCTTTTTAGAAGTATTTCCCTTTATGCAGGAAATGAAAGTGCACGTGCTAGTACATGTGTGTGAACTGTTCTTTCCATTCTGTGAGTAAATCAATGGTCACTTTAATCCATAATGATGTTTACTATACCGTGTGTAACTATTGTTATTGAGCATGGTTTATATTGCATGCCTTCTGTTTGTGCACCTGTGTTGTTCAGTAGACAGCAGGAAAAAACAAGTCTCACGTAACTTCTGTTTTCTGCTTCTGTTGCCCACGCCTGCTGAACAACCCAGCACTCTGTCCAGAAACACTGTAGTAATTGAATCATCCTAAAGGATTTCTCTTGTCCAAGGTTACCGGCTGTCTGATCAGTTCTACGATACCCTTATTCGGAAGTTTGACAGACAGGGAAGAGGCCAAGTTGCTTTCGATGACTTTATTCAGTGCTGTGTTGTTTTACAGGTAAGAAAGGAGATGTACTTTTAATGGCAATTGAAAAAAAACAAAGTTGTGTTCAACTTTTATGGTTCTCGCTTTATAATACCGGAACTAGAACTTGCTTATGACTAACGATCCACTTCAGTAAAGTGCACGAGAGAGCTAGAAACATCTGCAGCTGTAGATCTTCACTCGTTATCTATTTGCATCCCATATAAGTAAATCTGAAGCTGTTTTTGACCTCTTAAGTATTTTTAATGGGGTGAAAAAATGAAATACAGACTCATTTAGTGTTCTTTTCATTAGCTATGATATACAGTTTCTTTGGGTCTTGGATGCATTCACGCTGGAGTGTGTTATGTCCCATGTTGCCCTCTTGAGTGTACTCCAAAAAGATGTTCTTGCAATCTAAGTTGTGAGGATTTTCTATTTCAGTCTAAGGCTCTGATTTACAAGATTTTTGACCTAACAGCTAAATTATTTGATCTTTCATCTCTGCTGTTCCTGAAGGGGCAATGGTAGTAAAAGACATTTTAAACAAAATGAAACAAAAACCAAACAGCAACAGAAAACCAACCCAGCCTTTCAGTTACAGGAATGTTTATGGGGAGCAAGAGAAAAAGGAAAGAGGCTGTCCCTCTGCAGCTATATTCTTCTGTTTAGAAAGAAGTCACTGAATGGTTTATGTAAGTGTCTCTAGCGTTTCTGAAATGTAGGCGAGACTCTGAGGAAAAGCTGGGAAACTGCAGCAAAGGTCAAGCTGAATTTTAGTAAGAGAATGGAAGAAGAATTTTTCCTTTTTTTTTTTCTTAACACATCTAGTGTTTCCACTGTACCTTAAGCTAGCTTCCAGCACGCAATAAGAAGAGAAACGAGTCTCCAGGGTTGGACTTAAATGTTGTCTCCAGAGGTTCCTTCCAACCCCTGCAACTCTGATTCTGTGTAATTGGGATCCTCATTATCTGCCTAAGTGCTTTGTTCTTCTTTAGCTTTATGTTTGTAGCCTTAATCAAATGCTGCTGCTGAAGCATGTATTGCTTTTATATTCACTTGCAAATATGAGCCAATTTTGATTTGCTATCAACTTAAATTCTAGCAAAGAGGGCTTTGACATTGCTCATCATTCATGTGCTGTTAGTGAAACCAGAGGTAGCTGTTCTGGTCTGCTGCCAGCACCCCCAGTCCTCTGGGGGATTGTTCAGAGACAGCTGAGATATTAGTGATATATTGAGTTGACTGGGATGGAAAACTAGTAATAGTACTCTTCAGCTCCTGGCTGCAGCTGACTCTCAAAGGTAGCAAGAATTTTGCTGTTTCCAGCTCCTGAAGAGCCAGCTATAAAAAGTGTTCTGGCTTATAAATAAAAGCTTAGATAGGCTTAGGTGTGTCCTGAGATCACAGAATCAGATCCACTGAACAGCTCAAGCATGAAACACAGCAAAGAGCTCCCTCTGTGTGCCTGACACCATGCCATGTCTACAAAAGGCACAAAGCAGCAGCATTCATAGATGAAAGTGGGGCAGTCTGATCTTTCCCTGTACACAAAGATGTTTTTTCTTTCTCCACATATTTAGAGGCTGACTGATGTATTCCGACGTTATGATACTGATCAGGATGGCTGGATTCAGGTGTCCTACGAGCAGTACCTCTGTATGGTCTTCAGCATTGTATGACATTGACATCTAAGAAGCCCCCGCTGGCATTACACAAACTGGAGTTGCCAAATCATCGTGTACTGAATAAGATAATTGCTGTATTGTAATGGATATAATTTCACATCCGTAAATTTTGTATGTACGTCATCATCGCTTTTAGAATCAATGTTTGGTTTTGTGTTTTACAACTCTAAGATCAGCCATATCATGCTTACTGTAGCAAACAAAGCACAGAATCTAGACGTAACTGGTGCCCTGTCTGACTTAACTTTCTTCCACATATCCTGCATGGGGACAAAGGACACTTTAGAAATGCCGAATTAAAATAATGCTTGTTAGTTGGTAAGAGTTAAAACTCCGAAGTTGCACAACATGTTTTGCATGTGCCTTACTTTTATAAGAGTATAATGTATTAATTTTTAATACAGAACTTAAAATGAAGTAAAAATGTTAGACCAACATTTACAGTCTACATTTGTACAGTTTTTTGGAGGGTGGTGGCTGTGTTCCTGTGTTGCAGGTTGTTTTTTTCGTTTGTTTTTACAGTTCACGGTCCCTCCCACTTAAGAGGGATGGCCTTCTCTGCTTTCTGTCTTTACTTTCTAGCTGCTTCTTTCAGGGTATCCTTAGGCCATTTTTAAAGATAACTTCTTCACATTAATTTCCAACGCTGCATCTTCTTCAGTTAATTCCCTTCAAACTCTTAAATCCTCTGGATATACAGTTCCCTCTTAATGCAAATAATCTTTCCGTTTGCGTGAAGCATCCATTCTGCAGCGGCCCTGATGGTCAAGCATTCTCAAAACCTTTCAATCTCAACATTTACAAACAGAAAACAAGCAGAAATATATTAAAAGCACTTACTTAAGGTTCCTTTTACGCAGTTGCTTTCAAGAAGCAACCTGGAAGAAGTAAAAGTTAACAAACTCCCTAGGATTACTCTGAAAGAAAGTCTTATACCTCTTCTACCCAAAGCTGTTATTCTTCAAGATATATTTACAAAGTTATAGTATCTGGCAGCTGTGGGGCAGAAAAACTACCACCAGTTGTCCAGTAATGATGCAACAGATCCTTAGTGACACTGGTAACATTTTCTAAACATCTTTCTATGAAATATCACTGACAAATGGTTACAGCACAGACATTGGGAAATAACAGGTTCTCCTAAAAGACTCAGAACACCTAAAAGGTGTCCTTAGCCTCCAATGGGCTGCTCCTGTGAGATGCTGGGGGAACAGACAGTGCCAAACCAATATCAGAGACCACTTGAAGAGCTTCCCGTTGAGATGCTCCACCGGAAAGAGCTTCCCACTCCCTTCTGCAAAGGAATTTGTCCCCCTCGACAATTCTCCTGACCAAATGAAACCCAATACATCTAGGATCATTCATAGGTCCAAGGTTGCAAAGCTAAAACCAAAAAAGCTGACATCAGAGGAATTACCCGGGTTGTGGCCTGTGAAGGAAGTCAAGTCATTTTTTTTTCAGCCAGCATCATCATATTTCACTGCTGTAGAACTGGAGCCAGCACTTCCTAAAGGAGCTGTATTGGTATAGAACAATCACCAGCGACCAACTGGAATGCCTCAGCTCAGGGGGAAAGCTGCTTCTGAAGAAAAAGCAAGTAACAATAACAAGAACTCGGCTGGGAAATACACAAGCTACCCCTAAAGCATGTTCGATCCCAGATTTTTATCACTGGTGTTTGAAGGAAAACTAAAATTGGTTCAAAAGGCTCTGGTACACCTTCAGAAACGTTGCCCGGTGCCCAAGGGCGTGGTGTAGCTGCACTGCTGCTGGATGGCAAACATTTGCAGTGCGGTCTGCAGCCCATCAATACCTACCTTGTAAAGCTTGTTTCCCAAAGAAGGCCCAGTGCCCAGAGAAACAGGAACACACACAGCACTCGTTCTGTTCCAGTGCTCTACTACACAGGGGCAAGACAGGGCACAGAGGTTCCTTGGGAGCAAGTAGCCAGAAGCTGACTCGGGGAAATCGGCCAACACAGGAAAACAGAAACAGGACGAGGTCTTCTCTTATATAAGACTAATTGGAGAAGTGACTGAAAGGATGACACAACTTCCCTCCCCTGCTGGGAGACCACTCATCCTGTGCAACAGGCAAGAACAGGAACTGTTCCCCAGAACAAAAAATAAGAAGGGAACACGGAGGAAGAAAGAGCATCTTGTTGGGGAAGAGATCATTCAGCCACTGTATGCCACTGGAATATACAGTACTGACAGTAAAATCCCACAAGGAATCAAAAGCAGAAAGAAAAACCCTCTATATGAAGACCTCAGCTGAAAAAACCTTAACTCTCATTCAGTTTTTCTGTTTCCAGGAACTTACTTGCACTACACTTCCTGGAGAAAAGGAGGCAGTGAAGAAAAAGGAAAGCAGATGGATTCTGATGCACAGTTCAAACAAGAATAGAATTTCAGAGAATCAAGTGTGTGTGCCCTATCATCAATTGCTTTGTTGCTCTTATGTTACAAATTTACGTGACGACGTCCAAAAAGTTATTTTTTGTGAATGCAAAAATATATTAGTATAGCTTATGAAGACAAACCTGAGTTCAGCACAAGTATTTAATGTGCAGAGAAAAATACTCCAGCTATGGTTAGAAAGAAAGATGACAGCCCATAACAGAGCAGTGAAAAGCAGAGCAGAGTACCGGGAGTAAACTAGACTCAAGCTAGTCCTTTTCCTTAGCCCCACATTAGCTATATATTACATACAGCAGACATCTAAAGGTAAGCACTGGTGAGCTTACTGCTCAGAAGTGCAGAGAGAAGAAATGTAAGTACAGACCACTGGTAAACACAATGAACTGGTGCTCATTTCTGTTAGTGTGTCATTTTGATTATTTAGTTTCCCCTATTATTATGCAATTGCCATATGGGTTCTACTATGTCTCAGTATGCTTTTGTCAGCACAAAGAATGAAGACTTTTCCATTTCAGCATGGATCCATTTCTCAAATGAATTTTTAAGTTGATTCACAAGTTTCATTCTCAACAGGATATAAAAGCTCAGATATTGTACGTCTCTGCTGTGCAAAAATAAAACGAAATAACGTCACACCCTCATTAAACAGAAATGTAGTGTATCTATTTCTACAAACCCCCAACTATAAAGGCTTAAGTTAACTGAACTGACCTGAAATTTGTGTGAAGAGCAGCACATTTGGATTTTCAAACAACAGATCTGTATTTTCAGTGAGTGTTCTTACCCCAAAAATTAACATAAAAGCAAACCTCTTTTTTCTGAGTGGGGAAGGTCGTTAAAGGGTGATCAGCTTTTTGCTGACAAAATAACATTAACATATGTCAATGTTATTAAAAAAAAAAACAGAAGATTTTTCTCCAATACGCCAAGATGTAACAAATACATTTAAAAAAGCCTAAAAAAAAATAGTATTCACCTCCATTATGTGCAAGTTTGTGTTCCACCTACATTTAATATCATAAAAAAGATAACACTCTACCTCCCTTTCCCCTTCCAAAAACACACTTAAATGCAGTCTCTTTCCTGAAATCCAAGATACGGAGATTCTTGAGTCTGTTCATCTGCTTCCAGTTCAGCTGTTGTTGTTCCTTAATCTTTTCCTCTAGCTTCTATTAGCACACTGGCTAGCATCTGAATATTTAGTTCTAGAAAGGGGAAATTAAAAAACAAAGTTAATTCTTTTTCACATTATCTCACACAATACATCAGAGATTATTTAAATGAAAGTTTTACTGCTAACTGACTTTCCTGGTTCTCGCACATAAGCACAACTTAGATTTGTCCAAAGTCACACCCAAAGGCAGCTGTATGACAGTACATGTCCAATGGCCTTGAAATATTTTACAATCTATTTCCAAAGCAGAAACTTTTCTAACATAAAGGAGTATTTTTCCAAATGGAAAAAAAAAAATCAGATAACAAATCAGCTCTTTGGTAACATTTGTTTTGCTATCCCAATGCATTTGATCCATTTTGCATACTTTCAACAATTCCACCCAAGTTTGGTTCTGCACATTTTTTTCTTTTTCTTTTTTAATCTATGCCAATGTATCCCCTTCCCCAATAGAAAATATAGCTAGCAAGATGATCCAAACAAAACTTTCAATTCGGGAAATTTCACTTCACTAATCACAATCTTACAATTGCTGGATAACATGAAGCCAGCTGTCTGAGCACCCCAGTCATCATAGGTATATCTTTTCCTTCCAGCCTGTTCAAAACACTGGGAGCAGGACCAACAGCATCTTCACCAAACATCTTATCTGAGCTTCTGAACTGCTCATTATCTCTGATTATCTCTGTACGAGCCACCGCCAGGGAAGGAACAGTGATGTGAACCCCAATCATTTTTATCACCTGATTTCTCATGCCTATATTCTCGACACCTAGATTCCCAGTTCCAGTTAGATTCCTTGTTCCAGCTAGAGCCCTGGTTCCAGTTTGAGTCCCGGTTCCAGCTACAGCCCTGATTCCAGTTTGAGTCCCGGTTCCAGTTAGGACGCTGGTTCCACCTAGAGTTCTGGTTCCACCTAGAGCCACCTCTTCTTGAAAAAGCAGAATTTGTAGAAAACGTACAAGAATTCACAGCCCCATCACTCTTGTAAGAGAAATAGCTTTGCGAAGAATAGTTTGTTGAGTATCTTCCAGATGAAGGATGTGAAGAATTGGGATAGGGTAATCTCTTATCACTTATACCCCTTGCATTGCTACACGTTGGTCGATTCCTCCAACTTGCACCTTCCCTGTCATATGGCATTCTGTTACCAGGGAGCTTATCTCCTTGCACATCTTTGGGCGTATACTCTGTTGAGTACTCATGCACAGAACCTGTCGCATAAGAAGAGGCCCCAAGGGCTGGATTGTTGTTAGTAGCAGACTGGTTGAACTGCCTCAGCCACTCACTGATACCAGCAGAACTTCCAGTCTGGAGAGCAAGAGAGTCCCTGAGTGCTGACATCACTGCAGAGTCAGCAGATCTTAGTCCACAGGAAGATGATCCATCATCAGTTTGGTAACTGTGTGAGTTGGCAGAAGCAAAAGAATTATCTGCAGCACACTGTTCATACTGAGAGAAAAAGCGTTGATTCCAGTTAAAATTTCCTAAATAAAAAAATAAACACACAACGTAAGGAAGGGCATCAGAGATTAAGGAAAATACCAACAAAAAGACAACTGTTCTTACGTTTCATAAAGCGTTTTTTTCCTGTTTCCACATTTCCCACCTTTGTACCTCACCTGAATCCTTCCATCTTTCCACCCGAAAAACTTCATGCTAAATAGGGCACACAAAGTTTTCAGTGGCACCTTCTGAAGTATTTTCACACAGAACCAAATGACTGAACATAACCAGTGTAGTTTGGGTGACTTTTCTGCTTTATTTTTCTTCTAATTCATTACATACATCTGGGACAACTGTTTGCAAAATAGGTTTAATTCATTACAAGCCCTTTTTTATCTGACTATTTACTGGGTTAGAAAACATCAGCTTTTGTGCTACAAAGCTGAACAAAGAATAACAGAAGGGAAATAACTGACTCAACCCAACTGATTACCTAATAAATAATCTGAATTCAACCGTATTTTGCTTTACTGTCAAAGCATGATAAAAATCAACCAGTAGAATTATCACCGAAGGCCTCTCAGGTAAGATGTATCCAAGAGAGATCAAAGAGGTCAGGAAACATTAACTTTATGTAAGAATAATTATAAATAATGAGCCAGTGTGCCTCAACACTTCTGATTTTAGCACACATGCTCTTTAGCTGCTGTGGATATGAAATAAAATGGGTTAGCTTAAATCACATCATTTCCTCCCAGTGTTTGTTTTCTTCTTTAACATACCAGTTCTGCAGCAAACACTGAAACAAAGATTTACAAAAATTCAAGTCTTCCTAGCCTCTAAAAATACAGTCAACCAAAAATTTGCCAAAGCTCTACTTTTCCAGCTTACCCTTACATCCTTTCTTACCAAGTTTCTGCACACCCCAAGATTTGTGGGACAGAGGGGCAACTTATTATCAAATAATTAGAAGGCCAGTAGCCAAAAGAAGCAAGCTAGAACCTCCTTCATTGCATCCCCTAGCAGTATCAGCAGAAGCATTCAATGTAAAAATGGGAAATTCCTCTTTGAAGACACCTTGACATGCCAGCCTTCACAGTGAGCTAGGCAGATGCTACTGCTTGGATTTCCAGTGACCTCTATTCTTTGTAATATTATGCAGTGAGACAGAAAGTTCCCAGACAGACAGGGTTGAAGTCATGAAAGCTTCAGAAAATGATAGCTTGAACTGACTCAAAGGACAAAGTGACACAGCATTCTAGTAAAAAAGCACTATGGCTGGCCACGAAAATAAATTAGGAGCAGAACACTAGAAGAACAAAGAGTCTACATTACCTTTGTATTTTCCATATGGCTTATACGGTTTGGTAAAGTTTCTTCTTGCAGGAAATCCACCTCGAGACATTGGCATCAATGGCTTCAGTCTGTTAGTATAATTCACCTAGATTAAGCAAAAGTGTAGAATGTCTGTTTTTAAGCTGAAATGTACAGCATTCAAAAAATTTCATCATAGAAAGTTAGCAGAGTACAATTTTAGGTGGCAGCGAACTCCATTTGAAGAATGTTTTGCTCTGTTGGTTTCAATTACCACACTGAAGTACAATTAGAAAGCACTTTTTAAGAGGTATGAACCTGGAGAACAGAGTGAGGAATGAGGATGACAATACCACTTGTTCCAGATTTCTTTACTGCCCCTTGACATCGCCTGGCTAAAATATAAAACTGGTGCATATGCAAATCCTGTCTCTAGATAGGGAATGCAGAATGCAAGGCCCAACTACTGCCTGAGATTAAATGACAATTTTCAACCAGCTCATGAGAACTGCATTTTACTCACATGCCAATGTGGCATATATAGGAAACAGAAAAACAGAATACTGCAAAGACACATGTCAGATACTGTTAACTTAAGCTGGTTTCAGCCCCAGCCTCCAGCCCCTTCCTCTTTGCAAATGCTTTCCAAGGTCCTCACGTATTTTCAATGCCAACACAATTCTCAGGCTTTATACAATTTCAAGAGAATCCAGACAGGGCACTTTCTTGCTTTGTTTGTTGTTTTCAAAATAGTCCAGGCTGTATTTTAAATGAGAAAGGTCTTTAAACTTGTCCATTTTGTACTTTACAGTAAATCCCATAACAGGAACAGCAAGAAATATTTTTCCTATACGAATCAACTGCTCATCCCCTAGCAGGAAATTGGAAATGGTAACCTTCAAGCTGATGTAGCCTAGCAAGTAAGCAGACTTCTGACCTGTTGTTTTTTTAGTGAGCAGCAAATGCATGACAATTTGAAAGTGTAGATCTCCAAAAGGTACTGACATATGTTGGAGACAAAAGTGTAAAGAGTTACCATCACTCAGCTGATATGGAGCATATTGTTAATGCTTAAGAATCCATTCTGAAATTTCTTTCAGAAAAACACATACTAAATTTTATGGATCAGTAGCTGTCAGAGGTGGATAGTCATTTTTGTACAGATTCTGGTCAATCTTCACACTCTTTTTTCTGTGTGGGTATTCAGTTTTCATGCAAAGAAGCTGTCAAGATTTGTAAGCACATCCAAAAAATGGCAGAACATCTCACTTGCCTTCATCTTAGGAGATTAAAGATCTCAAGTGGGAGCAGAGTTATCAGTAAAACATTTACCCAAACTCTCATGAAAGAAAAAGTGACACATTTGGGTAACAGTTAAATGCCTGATTAATCACAGAAGAAAAGCTATCAAGCAAGGGACTGAATGTAAAGTAAAGATGACAACCAGACATCATGATGTAAAACGGAGCATAAATCTGGGCAGGAAACACATGCAAAATGGAAGGAAAACAGATGGAACACGATGAAGAACTAAGAGAAGCAGTGCCAAGCAATTAATGAATTTGATTCTTCAAAATTGTAAAATAATTTTAAAATATTTAAATGAGGAGGGTTGGCCTATTCTGAACTGTGGCAGTTTGGCAGGGCATTAACATAATTAGTTTCCACTTCTTGCCTCCCACTGGTAACATCACTACAACTCTGGTCAAGATGAAGTCACTTACCACTGCTTTCTTTTCACAAAAGGACTTCAAAGCTTCTGTGAGTTCCTGTGTAACACGAACAACACGTGTTGCTTCTGAGTCTGAGGTGATGTGAAAAGTCTCCTGTTGAGAAACAGAGCAAGAATTGCTACCTCATTGGGACACTTCAGTGTCACGTATACAAACAGATCAATTATATTTTCATTTTGGTATAACCAAGGTTAGACCACTAACGTACACATAAGAAATATATAATACACATATAAATACATACACAACATGTATTTGAAAATACATAACTGTAAATATAATTATGTCCTGATAAGAGGCAAAACATAACCCTTGATGTCTGTAGCAATCCCATACTGATAATGATGAACATTCTGTTGCAGACCTAAGCATTAAATTTATGCTCCTTGTCAAAACTTGAATAAAAAGTTCAGATACTTCATCAATGCCTCTGATTCTGCCATTTTGGTAACAAAAAGATGAAAGTTTCTACCATAATTTTCCTATGTATACTTTTGGGATACAGAGTTATAAAAGACACTGATATAACTATATAAAGTAAAGTTATGTGTATCTGTCTTAATATTAAATCACAATAAGTAAGTGTATGAATTTATAAATGATTGCAGAAAATTACAAGAATAGAAATAGTTTGAAGCCACATGAAATATATGTGATACCTTTTCATTAGCTACGTCAACAGCTACCAAGCATTTTTGGTAGTTTACTGATTATCCAGACTTGTTTTTTTCTATAACTCTTCTTAAAGTCATAAATAACAACAGACTAAAAGAAAAAAAAGACTGAAAAACACTTCAGATGGTAAAGAAGCACACCTCTCAAAACAGCTGACTTGTTATTTCAGAGCAGAAACAAGCAATTCAGACTCAAATGAAATGATATAATGCCTAATGTAAGGTATTTAACAAAAAAAAGACTTTAAGACTTTCAGTGAGAAAAATGGCAAAGACAAACAGGCAGATGCCTTGGCTTGTATCAGGAGCAGTGCAGCCAGGAGCAGGGAGGTGATCGTCCCCCTGTACTCAGCACTGGTGAGGCCACACCTCAAGTACTGTGTTCAGTTTTGGACCCCTCACTACAGGAAAGACATTGAGGCCTTGGAGCATACTCAGAGAAAGGGCAACAAAGTTGTGAGGGGTTAAATTTTAAGGGAAGTGGGATTATTCAGTCTGGAGGAAGCTCTGCTGAAATCCTATTGCTCTCTACATCTGCCTGAAAAGACATGGTAGCAAGGCAGTGATCAGCATCTTCTGCATAGCTAGTGATATGATGAGAGGGAATGGCCTCAAGTTGCACTAGGAGAGTTTCAGGTTAGGTATATCTTCTCAGGAAGAGCAGTCAGGTGCTGGAATGGGTTATCCAGGGAGGTGGAGGAGCCACCATCCTTGAAGCTGTTCAAGAAACATTCAGATGGAAAAAGGACGTGGTTTAGTGAGGAAATGGTGGTAGGTGGCTGGTTGGGCTAGATGATCTTGGAGATCCTTTCCATCTTAGTGATCCTATGATTTTGTGGTTCTAACAACAAAGCAAGGCTTACTATGCCACTGCTAACAGCAACTGAATAGGCAGAACTGTTCCACTCCAACAGCTACAACACTGCTCTAGATCTTCCAGTTTCATTTGGCTATCTAGTTCTACAGCAGCAGCAGTCACAGCATCACAGACAGCAGGACCAGACTGGCTCCTATCACTCAGTTTATCAATAACCCTAGCAGGCATGGGCAAACCACAGCACTTGAGCAACATCAGTGATGCTAAAGCTGCTTGTTAGGGTGGCTCCTCAACAAAGAGAAGAATGGTCCAGTGACTAGTGAGACCATTCACGCTGAAGCCAGCATGTTCTGAGCTTTTCAAAAAGCAAAGTCCATGAAAAAGTACCTTAGAAATTAACGTTGGAGTCAAACAATTTTGAGCAGTAATCAATGGCTCCGTTACAACATTCAGTGTTTCACACAGGAGAAACTCCACAACTACTAAGACTTACCAAATTCTTATCACAATTATTTGGCATACGTACCAAGAACTCTAAAGCTTTTTGTTTCCAAAAAGGATCATTCTGTGGGATTGGGGAAGAAAAATCAAAAGAATGAACACACAGTGCTTGTAACACCTTCCTGTACAAAACAAGACTGTTTAATCTTTCATCCAACAACAAAAGTCAACACAAATCAAAGACAGCATTTTTATGTTGCAGCTGTAAACATTAAACTCTAAATAGCACAGAGCTCCTCAAGTCAGATACAGAGATCATTCAGAATTTCACTTTTGAATTAGAACTGAATTAGAAAAAAAGGACAATAAATCTTTATATTTATTTTCAGATTTAAACCAAACCTCCAGAATAGAACATCTCTGATCTGAAGAGGGGCAAAACAGTGGAGAATGCATCATTACTCGGGGCACTTGGCCTGCAGATGCTGGGTCTCAGACTCAGTGATTCTGAACAGAAATCATATGAACTACATGGGTCAATACCCTGATGTACAGTATTAATTTCCCTGGTGGTGTGGTGAACATAAAACTCTAGTCACTAGGTCAGTTACTTTGTTTCTGGAATAGTATCAATAAAATGGGAAATGAAGCCCAAAAGCAGTTGTTTTCAGGAAGAAAAAAAAAAGCAAAGCAAACATAAGAAACTGTTAAGACATTTGCAGAATTATTACTTCTACATACCTCATGCTTATGATCATCATCCCACCTTAAAAAGAAAGAAAGAGAAATACTAAGACACATTTAAAAGATTACTAAAATGTCAGGTTTACTTCTGTGTCTAGGATCAAATATTTCGATTTCCAAACGTATATAACTTAACAATACAGGATACATTTTTCTGTATCTAAAATACTGTATTTCTTAAAGGTCTTTACTCTGACTCTCAAAAAACAACAGTTGCACTGATGAACTCTACTGATCAGCTAAAGGAGGTGACTGAAGTAATGGAAACTTTTCCTTCATATATGAACATAGGTGCCTCTTCTACAGCTTAGGCAATGGCATCCCAAATACAGCGGTAACAGCCTGACATTTGAATTGCAATCTTCGTGCAGAGGTACATCAGACTGCTATTGAATTGCACAAGCCATGTAACATCTAAAAAATCACTGCTACACAGAAACTGAATATCACATTTTATTTCAGGTGTTTTCCTCTCAGGAGAAAGCAACAATTTACACAAAATGAAGCACAATGGAAAGACAATACATATTCCCTGTACGTGATATTTGTTACAGAAAAGATGTACTCAACAAGTGATCTCATAAAGAAATCTCTTTTGATTCCCCTACAGAAGTTATAATCTCACCTTGCTTTCTTCTTTGATGGGGCTAGAAAATTAAGAAGAATAATTAGCACCATTGTAGAGTTTCCACCATATTACTGCAATAGAAACATTACTCAAACCAATCTGTAACTGGCTCTGAAGTAATGGCAGTCTTTTAAAGGCCCAATAATCTCTCTGGCCAGTACAGTCTGTATTAATTAGAAAGGAGAGAAAGCTCAGTAAAACGAGATTATCTTTAAGACAGTAGATGTGCTTCAGAGAATCAGTTACTGCATCATACAAAACTTAGCACTTCTTAATGTGTTCCAGGAAAGCAACTGGGCAAGTGCTGATTCTCAGGACAAATGACATATTTGTCCCTACAGTATGATGCTGAAAGACTCATTTCTGTTTTTTTCTATCACCTGATGTTAAACCAATATTGAAAAGTTGCAACAAGAATTTGCACTGTACGTCCCAGAGTTTTCTGCATGTCAGGAGAAAAAAAGATTGCCAACATTTTAGAGAAGACATCCAATGAAGAAACAATCACAGAAACGGGATGGGAGGGATCTCTGCAGGTAGAACCACAGAATCATACAAAAGCTCAGGTTGGAAAGGATCCAATTCCCTCAACCTGCTGGCTACACTCTTCCTAATGCAGTCCAGGCAGTCAGTCTTCATTACATCCAGAGAACATTGATGATACATGCTTGCATTGTTGTACATAAAAATCTGTAGGTTCTTAAAATTTGTTCCCTATACAAATAGTGTCCAGTTTGTATCCAGCAGGGTGTAATGTAAGAATTCATACTTACTTACATATTTTCTTACATCTTACAGATGTAAGAATTCATATTTACTTTTGCCAGAATTCAGGAGGTTTCTGACACCCCATTTGTCTAGCTTCCCAAGATCCCTCTCAATGGCAACTTTGTTTTATCACATACTAAGCATTCTTCCAAAGTTTGATGTAATCTGCAAACTTGACAATGTTGTATTATATTCCATTATCCAGATTGTTAATGAAGACGTTAAGCAGTGCTGGCACCAAGATCAGCCACTCAGGAATGCCATTAGCAAACCAGCCAACACACCTAAAACCACTGACAACTGTTTTTTGAATCTAAACGTTTTCCTCAGCTACCTTTTACCCAACCTGTATAATGATGGTATCTCCTCAGTCTGGCTACGACCATACTAAGAGACTGCATTGAAAGCTTTCCTGAAGTTAAAACAACATCCAGCCTTCCATGTCTACAGAGCCAGCCCATGTCATTGCAAAAGGCAATCGGGTTGGTCAAGCCCAGTTTCTCCTTAGTAAATCTACAGTTTGTTCTCAGTCATCATCTTGACTTTTACACACCAATTAATGACATATATAAGGACTTGTCCTATAATTTTTATAAGGTCTGGTCAATCCTGTAGCCACATGCCTCACTTTTCAAGAAAAGTACACCTGGCTTTTTCCAGGTCACCAAGGAACTCTTCTGATTATGACCTTTCAAAGACTCCAAGAGAGGGTTCCCCCAACACCAGACTTATTCCGTTTTTTCCTATGTATTTGCAACATGCTTGATTTGCCAGTCCCTAAACTAATTCTCCTCTACTGTGACTCCACAACTACATACAACATCCTGAAAGCAGACCTTTATTCAGTAAAGCTGAAAGTGAAGAAAGCAACAAGTATTTCAATACTTTCTGTGTCCTTTATCACTAAGTTATTTGCTCTGGTCTTCAATGGGTCAGATCTTTTGCTGCTGTCACGCAGAAGCCTTTCTTCTGACCTTCACCAACAAGTCTTCTTAACTCCACCTCAAATACATCTGAAATGCCTGTGTATTTCTTGTTGGCAGCCTGCCCTCAAGTCTGTATGTTTCCTTTTAAGCACTGAAGATTAGTTGGCCTTTCTCTCTTCAAACTCACTAGCCACCTGCTATACCTGTCCATATTCTTGCACAGCAGAATGGATCATTTCTGCTCTTTGAGAGTTCCCTCTGAAGGCTCATTATTTCTGTTGGGTTTCTTTTTCATGGCAGCCTCTCAAGGAATACTGGCTACTAGTTTTCTGAAGATGAAGGCAGTTCTCCCAGAGACCAGGATCTTGGTCCCCATACCCCTAAGGATTTTAAATTATATAATCATAGAAGGGTTTGGGTTTGAAGGGACCTTTAAGGTTATCTAGTTTCAACCCCCCTGCTATAGGCAGGGACACCTCCCACTGGGCCAGGTTGCTCAGAGCCCCATCCAGCCTGGCCTTCAATGCTTCCAAGGAGGAATTCACAACCTCACCAAGAAACTTGCTCCAGTGTCTCACCACCCTCACTCACAGTAAAGAACTTCATCCTGATATCCAGTCTTAATCTATCCTCTCCAGCTTAAAAATATTTCCCTTTGTTCTGTCACTACCTGCCCTCATAAAAAGTCCCTTCCCAGCTTTCCTGTAGACTCCCTTCAGGTACTGAAAGGCCACTATAGGGTCTCCTTGGAGCCTTCTCTTCTCAAAGCTGAAGAGCCCTAGTTCTCTGAGCCTGTCCTCGCAGGGGAGGTGCTCCAGTCCTCTGATCATCTTCATGACCCTCCTCTGGACCTGCTCCAACAACTCCATGCCCTTCTTGTGTTGGGAGCTCCAGAACTGGACACAGTACTCCAGGTAGGGCCCTACGAGAGCAGAGTCACCTCCCCCAACCTACTGGTCACTCTTCTCTTGATGCAACCCAGAAGGTTGGCCTTCTGGGCTGCAAGTGTACACTGTCAACTCATGTTGAATCTTTCATCAATTAACATTCCCAAATCCTTCTCATCAGACCCGCTCTCATGCCATTCTCTGCCCAGCTTGTATCTGTGTTTGAGAATGAACCAACTCAGATGTAGGACTCGCACTTGGCCTTGTTAAACTTCATAAGGTTGGCTTGGGCTCACCTCTCAAGCTTGTCCAGGTCCTTCTGGATGGAATCCCTTCCCTCTAGCATAATAACTGCAGCCACTCAGCTTGGTGTCATCTGCAAATGTGCTGAGGATGCACTCAATCCCACTGCCCATGTTGCCTATAGAGATGTTAAGTAACATTGGTCTCTCAGGAATGCCACTCATCACCAGTCTCCACATGGACACTGAGCCACTGACTGCAACTCTCCTGAGTGTGGCCATCCAGCCAACTCCTTATCCAGTGAGTGTTCCATCCATCAAATCCATTTTTTCTCCAGTTTGGTGACTAGGAATGTCATGATAATAATCTCATTATCATATCAACTAAGGCTGCCACTGATCATCATTTTCCTCAGTCTTCTCCTTTCCTTGCGGGTAAAATGTGCAAAACCCTCTCCCCATTGACCCACCCACCATCTGCATGAAAAACTGCTTGATTTCAATTTTGGATTGTTTGCGACTTTGACGAGAAGCTTCTATCCATCCATATCAGCACTCCTGTCATACAAGCTACTCTATTGTATTTTTGCAGTTCTGATGATGTTATAGCTTTCTGATCATACAGAGTTCTAGTTTCACCATCCCGCCCAAGCTCCCACTTCAAGAAAGGTTACTGCCAGCTTTATATAGCCAGGTCTTGAAAAGCTCTGAGGATGAAGGATATGTGGATAATCTGTTCTAGTGCTGTTCCATCCTCTAGGAAATAAGTTTTTCTTGAGTTCAGCCTCTCAATCTGCCATCCATGGCTATAATCTCTTATTTCACCTTCTGCAGTTACCAACAACTTCAGCTTTATCACCTTTGTAGCAATTCTATTTCTAATTCTTCTATTCTAGAAGAATAGTCATCAGTACTCTTTCCCATCTAAAGAAGCCCAATGCTCTCTATCCTTGAGTACCACCACACCCCTTTGCTACATATTCTCCAATTTCTCCACCTTCTTTTAGAGGTAGAAGGAATATAACTAGATAAAATATTCAAAGTTTGATCTTACCAGTATCAAACAGTGGGCAATAAGAACACTCAGCAGTCTGCTTGCTGCCTGTTCCCTACCTGAAGTGTTACAAGATTGCTTTATATGAAATGAGAGCATTCTATTGGTTTATATTCAGCTTGGCAACCACCACAGCCATCACAAGCCCTTTTTAGCAAGGCTGATCAGCCTGTTATTTTCTATCCTGTACTCACACATGGAGTTACCACTTACCTAATGAAGATACAGACAAACTTCCCCAGTTATCCGCTATAATTTCAAATAAGAAATAACTGAATCTGAAGACTGTTGTCCAAAACAGCAAACTAAATCTTTGGAACTGCTTTTAGTTTCCAGCTGCATTCTGTAGTAGCATTAAAGTAGCTTTTAGAACAGAAAATATTGATGCAAACAGAATTCAGAAACTAAATTAGACTAGAAATTCATTTGCTGTACTATCACATTGTATTTATACAGATTCCCACACTTCATAAGAACGCCATAGGGCTTTCAAGTTCATTAGTTCTCTTCTGTGAGTAAGTGATTACTGGAATTATCTTCATAAGGTACAGATGGCCTTTCTTTAGAGAATAAAGAAATGTTTTAATTTTTCCTTTGAGGAAAGCAACAAATCAATCCCTCCAAAGCTTCTCAAATGTATATAAAGATACATAATCATGTTGGTTTTGCATGTGATTTTGGCAGTAGCCAAAACTTACACGTTAATGTCTGTTTTGTCTCTTACCCAGATAGCGTTTCCTAATTACATCCTCAAACTCATTCTTGCTGACAGAAGGGAGCTCTGAAGATGAAAGTCATTCTCTAAAAATATGATCTACCTTAAGCCCACACAGTTGTTAAGCCAGTAAGCATGAATTCCTTCTAAATAAGTAGCGTTTTTATTTTGGAATAAACTTGATGTTGTGCTGCTGTGCTTACTACCTAGTTAAAGCTGAACATCACAACACTCTTGTCTGTTCCTTCCAGCTCTTCATAGCCTGTGGAACTGCATGGATTATTATTTTTTTTTAATGTCCTGAGTGAATACTTGAATACGTCTTTCCTATAGACGTCCTATAGAAGTCAGTAAGCTCTGAAATCAAATACTATCATGTCCACACAACTTTCCTCATGTTAACACTATACAACGCTGCCTACCTGAAAGTTGATTATCAGTTGTTTTGTCCTTCACTTACTAGCAATCTGGATCATCATTTCTCTGAAATACTTAAAATATTTTACATTCTTCTAGAAGATGAACTGTCAGTATTACACCTTCTATATTATAAAGAAAAAAAAAAAAAAAAATTGGCAGCGGTTTCCAGAAGATTCCCACACAAAGAAAAAATGTTAACAACATCCATTCAGGTTTATGAAGAGCAAGGTACAGCGCCGAACTTGCTAAAAACCTCCATAGCAAGATTCTGACCAACAGTTCAGACTGTGGTCAGAATACACAAATAGTTCTGGAGGTTTTAGAACTCATTCATAAAGTTTACTCTGAACTGAGAATTACAGGTCCAGGCTAACGGATCACATTCCATCTGCTTCACAAAAGAGACAAAGCTTCAAAAAGGTCTCTGCTACTTTGTTTGGTAGACCAACATAAATAGGTACAAGACACAAAAGCCATCAGTGACCAATTCAAATAAATCATCACTGTGGTAGGCACTACAGGCAGGATTCATACTGACATACACTGCTGACCAAGCAATCTGCACCCATTTCAATAAACCTACTGCCAGCAGTTCTAGGGTCAAAAGGTAGCAAGGACACATACCTCTTCACGTTGGAAAACGATACAACTCAAATATACTGCATAGAGGGAGGATGCTGCTTTTATGCTGGAAGGTTTTATTTCCATTGCTCATTCAAATAAATTTGCTAAAAAAAGATAACTTCTGCCTTTAGCAGCAATTCAGCACTGATTTGTATGCATTTTGATGATTGAAACTTGGTGGAAAAGGTTTTATCAGCTTTTTCAAAGAAATCCATCTAAAACCATATTTCTATACTTCTTGACTTTTCTTGATTATAAAACTACTGTAGTTATCTTAAATACCTCCAGAACCAAGCAGCTAAAAAAGTCTCTTCATTTCAAATTTACAAAAACTGGAAAAATCTTTGAAAAGAAAACATTTTGTGCTATTACTTGCAATTTTAATGTTTTAAAACAGTCAAACCCTTCAAGTTCAAGCAGTAATTCAAACTAAGCTGGTTTTGGCTGTCAAATATGTTATATTCAAATAATACATAAACTTACGTGAGGTACTTGGTCTTATGTAACCTTCAATCTAGAAAGCAGACATAGTTTTATATTAGATTTTTCTTATAAGAGTTCATTACAATAGTCCCTATTGCAACTGTCTGTAGAGACAGAACAAGTAGTTTTATTCGTCCTAGCACAGTTTTACAAATTATATATAACCAGTACAAATTAAATTTGAGAGAAAATTCCCAAACATTTGAGAAAGTTAAGTTGTGTTAGTTAAGAATCACTGAAGTAAAGCATTAAAATTTCCAGCTGGACATTTTCTAACTAAAAGGAAATTAACTTCTTCAACAGCTTCATTTTTTTCACAGGAATTTCAAGACTGTTGTTCCTTTCCCCACATGTTTTAGGGTGACTTCAGCTTACATCTTGATTCTACTTAGCACTGCACTTTCTAGTCACACACAAGAATTTAACATGATTTGTCAGCAGTACTTTTAAAGCTTCCTAGGTCAAACATAAATGCACTGGTTAAAAATACATTATTGGATATTTAACATTTACTTCCAGTTACCTTATACATTTTTAATCCTTCAGTCTTCTCTAGCTCTCCTGCTATTCTTTTCAGAAATGAGACTTTGCATTCTTTTACATCTGTTGCCTTTCTCTTCATTTTGTCTGGAAATTCTTTAGACTGTTGGCAAAAACAGTTTTAAATGAGCAACGTCAAAATTCACATATTAAAAAACAGGCACATTTCATTTCTTGGACAAGCTTCTAAGGACTAGTAAACATAGTTTTGAATATGAGGAGGTAGTTTCTCCTCCATAACACAATCATTTAAACGTTAATGTTGAAAATGTACAGGCCGTCTTCACAACACAATTTGGATACTACATGAAGTTAGCAATTGAAAGGTAGTGTGCTCTGTACAATATCCAACAATACCATGGGCATGCTGAAAAATGAGAGAGAACCGAGGACTGAGAACCTGATCTCAAATGAGATTAAAACTCTTAAGAGCAGAGTTCAAGTAGATGCAGACATGCATCTTTGGATCACATTTTCAGTAGTTCACAGCTTTATAGCTATTCATGTTGATGTGACCCATCAATACTCAGTCAAGCAATTATTAGTGACATACATGGGGGAGGTTAAACTTCAAACTTGATGTAGGTACTCAGAGGAAAAAAATTATCTTTTTTTTCCTATCTTGTGATCAAAATTACTTACTATGTATGCTCTTCTGTGTTTATATCCACTAAGATGTTCTATCATGGGTGCCATCTCTGTATTAAACCCACACAGCTTGCATTCATAATGCGGCTCTCTTCTTCCTTCAAATCTGATTTCAACCACATGTTCTAAGCCTGTAAAAGCAAGAATTACAAACATCTATATTTAAAATAGACTATTATAAACAGAAGTATTTTTTTCAAAGATGCTCACTAGAAGCCAAAATTAATAAAGAAGAGTATTCCATTTTCAGAATTTCAATGCTAGTTCAGGATCACAAAGGTCAGGCTTGCTACCCACATAAATTAAATTCTTTTCTTTACAATGTTTTATTCAGGAGGAAAAAAAAAAAAAAAACTTCTTTGGAAGATTTGCAAACTCAGTAAAACAAAAATATAGCTACTCTTCTGTCCAGGATATTTTTAAGCAACAAAAAACCCACATTTCCTTCAATACAGCCATATGAGATAATTAATGGAGACATATCAGTCAGTCAAACAAAAAACAAAGACAGGAAATACCATATCAAGTTCTGTATTAAAAACAATTCAATTTAAATTACTCAATCAAATAGAATATGAGTAGCAAATTATAACGTTTGAGTAGCACAAAACATATCCAGAAATAACAATAATCCCTTCATAAAATCAAGTCCTTTGTTAGATAAAAATCTTTCTTTTTTTTTTTTTTTTTTTTATAAGTAACAGGAGAGAAAACGGATTTGCATAATTTTGTTTCTAGTCACTGAAAGACAGACTACATCTTAGAAGCACTCAAAACTCTCTAGATGTGATGCTTATAACTAGCATTAAAAAGTTCACTTATAAACTTGTGCTGCATAAGGAGTGATGGCAGCAGGAGAGGTGTGTCCACTAAGCACTGATTATGCTGCATGTGGAAAATTCTTGGCTTCCCAGAACAAGTGAGACGGACAAACTTGAAAGATTTCTGCAAAGGGCCACAAAAATGATGAAGGAACATAAATACCTTTCAGGAGGAAAGGCTAAGAGAGCTGGAAGTGTTCAGCTTGGAATAGAGAAGGAAGGAACCTTGATGCGTACAAGCATAGGTGAAGGGAAGGTGCAAAGAAGACAGATACAGGCTCTTATCAGTGGTGCCCAGTGACAGAACAAGATGCAATGGGTTAAAACTGAAGCACAGGAGATGAATTCACTGTGAGAACGACTGGTTATCAACAGAAGTTGCGGAGTCTCCACCACCTAGCAGATATTCTAAAGCTACCTAGCTACAGTCTTAATCATCCTGCTTGGTGCTTGAACAAGGGAGTTGGGCAAGATGACCTTCAGATGGTCCTTCCAATCTCAGTCTTTTTGTTTTCTGCAAAAAGCATCCTTACTGAGATGGTTCCTTCAGGAAGTAATTATCTAACTAGTAAGATGCATAGAAGAGGTGACTTTTACAATGGTTGTGTAACAAGTTAAACTTTAGAAGGCATAATGTATAAGATATTTCTCATTAATTACCCAACAACAATTACATAATGAAACAGTATCAACATACCACCTCAGATTTCAAAACACATGCAATACAAAGACATAGCATTCAGAAAACAAAAAAACAACATACCAACTAGAGGTTCTTCTCTTTTGGGATCATTAATAAAATCCTTCAGACACATAATGTCCTTTGTGAGTCCTCTCTTCACTGAGGTAAAAAAAAAAAAATACACAAATAAATATTACAGTAAAATGAACAAGTGCATTAGACAGCTTACATCCAATTTCTATGATTTTACAGGAGTTTCTAATTGAAACTTAAGAGAAACAAAGCTAATTTTCACTCTGAAATGTGAAAAAGAAATGGATAGGATCTCTATCAAGATCTACAAGAAGACTCCAGCACCGCACTTTCAATAGCATTTTTATACATAAGAAATTAATGACTTCAAGAGATCCAAAGAAACAAAAAAAAATCATCTAGCAGAATCCAATTTACCGACAAAACACTCTCAAGTTCACATAGCCTGTCCCAGACCATGTCAGTCAATATTAAAAGAAAGAATTAAAAAAAACAAGCAAACCAATTTGCCTGCCCCTCATTTCTGCTAAAACTCTAATGATCATATTGCACCCTCTATATTACTTGTTTGGAATCTGGAGTTCGATACTCATATTGCCTTAAATCTAATAAAGAGACATAACTTCACTAACATGGCACTAATTGAAACTCCCTGCATTCTCTGGGCAGACCAGAAGCTGCACAATCATGTTTGTTATGCTCCTGAGCATTAACTAGAATTCTTTCAGTCAGGGGTGTCTCTCACTCCTCACTGGGTTTTATTTACTTGGTTTTATCCTTAACTGTCCTAGAACACTTTTAAAGCATCCCTGGTCAACTCAGAGCACCAGCTACACCTATCTGTAAAACAAACTCAATGAGACAATAAATGTGTTCAAGTATTGGCTATTATAAAAGAGTATGCTCAAGTGTTAAAATATCTGTTTCTATATCTGATAAAAATGTGCAGAAATAGAAGTTATCTTCCTAATTACTTACAAGTAATACATACACCCCCAGTGAGATGGCTGAGTCACCATCCTCGAATGTGCTTAAAATCCATTTGGACGTGGTGCTCAGGGACATCATTTAGCAGAGGGTTGCTTAGGGTAGTATCGTTAGACTGCAGTTGGACTTGATCTTGAAGGTCTCTTCCAACCTGAGCAATTCTATGATTCTGTGATTTTAAGTGTATTTCAACCTACTACATTTCCTAAGAAGAGTCATAACAACTGACAGTTGTTTCTTCAAATCCAAGCACTAAACAATGTGTTTCTGTTTCTTGTCCTTCTAGGACACCAGGTTACATTTAGAGAAGAACGTTATCAGGACAGTGAACTCCATGTTTGCTCTTTATGTTCATTCCAGCAGGAGTACGTTTTTGCCGCCACCAAGCCAAATGTCAGGGCTGCATATATTAAAAAAAATACTTCACAAAATGCCAGCACTAATATATACCCATTATCTGTTGTAACTTAAATGTGGTAGAAGATACCTGACAGGACAACTCCCACCACAGGATAGTGAGGCCAAATCTTCCAAAACTTTACAGGCCTTCTTAGTTTTATTTATTTATTTGGACATGCATCTTGTTTTACATGCTTCTGTTAAACTTTCACTGTCCTGTATTTGTATATACAAGCATGCTACAGAATGCTCAGTTGAAAACTTCATGATCTAAAAAGATATTAGATAATCAGGAAGAAAAAAAACTATGATGCCTCAGGTATTGAATCATTTCACTGAAAATACACACCTAAGAACTTTTCTTAAATAAAATAACCAGTGCACAAGAGAAACATTTGGTAACTTGCATTACTTCTTAAGAAATCAATTAACAAACGCTTTGATGGTTTTATTTTAATGATGCCCAAAGTTGTATTTAAAAAGGAGGTTAGCTCATTTACATTCAGATACCTGGTCTCTGTGTTTCATAGCTCATCGTAGTTCGGAAGGGAGCTGGAGGACCTAAGATGACAGTTTGACAGTCAGACCAATTCTTCTCAAATGCTCTTAAGTACAGAATAGATCATCCAACCATATTAACAACCTGAACAGTTATCTTCACTATGCCTGTTTAATATAGGCTAAGTTTACAATGGTATTTCATCTTGGTGCACTTTCCTTCTGTAACTTAACTTTCCCAAATATGAAAAAGTCTTCTTTTCTGCTCACCTTCCTTACTTATACAGTATACCAAACACATGGATAAATACCAGAAAAACACAGTGTATCCCATTACTTCATTTTTATATATTTTTTTTAATTGCTTTGCATACCATCTAATTATTTATTTTAGCTATTCGGTTTTCTGCATGAAAGCAGATCCAGCAGCATAGGTGCCTGACAGACAAACTCTCACCTAAATATTTAGAGCCTAGATAGTCCCAAGTCATTAAATTGCATGACAAGAACAGTACTTTTACACAGGCATCTGTACATATTTTTAACCAATTTCAGAGTGAATGTTTGAACAAGCTTTTTTTAAACATGACCCCTTCATTGGGAACTTCTCTCCCTTGCTCCATTCATCCTTAAATCCATACACAGAGACATACCCAAGTGAGCTTCAATGATGCTCTCAGCATTTTGGAAATCGTTACAACCAAGATTAAATGAAAACTGACATGCAGATCATACAATTCAGATCATACAAATCTGTGTTACATTTAGCTTAAAAACTTGAAAAATTAGACTACTCATTTGCTCATGCAATTCTTATTTTTTGAAGAGATTTTCCACGCTCATAGCAAATACTGTATGCTGCATATAGCACAGACTTCCTCCTTCTGCACAAGATCAGCAGCGAAGAGATACATATCAGAACTGTAAACCAGATCAAAGCTGCAAATATTCTGCAAACAACTACACTATTAACATAAGGGAGGGGTATAAGTAATTGTGAGAAATCAAGACGGACGTAAGTTACCCAGCTTTTTCAGTAAAAAGCTTTGAAGATCATGGTAGTATAAACCAAAGAGGCTCTCCAGATTCTTTGCAAGTATGAAAACTACTTAATTCCAGAACTGTTTTGTTAGGCTGTGTACAGCTGAGTTGGATTTCGGGTCCAGCACGCCATGACAACATGGTCAAAAGCTAAATAACACCAACACACCTGCAGAAAACTATTCTTCTATTTCAGTTTGCTGCAACAAGGTTAAGTTTACACATACAGTTCAAGTTTAAAAAACACAACAACAACCCGATTACAACTCCTACTACCACCAAAGATACCCAGAGTGTTTTCTGTCTTTCCTTGTTCTCAAACATTTGCAGATAGCTACCACAGTCTCTGCTAACAGCTCAACAGAAGTTATTACCCAGTAAGACACTCTCCCACGCACTGATGCTAGTTTTGCATGCTAGAACTTAAGTTTGACATTTATGAGCCCCATGGCCTTGTAATTAGTCTACTAATAACGTTAAATTGTATTTCTAAAGTATCTCAAAACCAGAGCGGTAGTATTTTCACTTAAAGCCTATCAGACTGATAAATGAGCTGGAAAACTCAGCTGCACTTCCGCACTTAATGAGGTATGAGTAGCAACCCAGACTCTTACTGGTGTTCAGCAAACAGTGTCCATTGCAATTAACCTCTTCATCAGTAACCTGACTGATGCACAGAACACCATCAGCAAACTCAGAAACAACGCAGGAATACAACTGATGTCAAGGCTTTAGTTGAGCAGGACTTTGGGAACACTGATTATTAAAGAAACTTGAAGTACCATAAGAACTGAAGAGTTCTACAGCTGAACTAATGCCACTTACGAACACAAGCTGAGCAGCTGCACAGTTACTAAGAACCTGATGGTATTGACAGACGCCAAGTTGAACACCAGCCAAAAGCAATTCTCTGCAAACAAGGTAAAGCCCCTTCTGAGGGTCTGTACAGGCAACTGGAATTGTTTACTCTGGTAAAGCAGAGGTTAAGAGGAGATTTAATTGCATCAGTACTCAAGCAGCAGTTACAAAGACTAGTCAAACCTTTTCAAGAGGTGGCAAAAGTATAACAAAGAGAAAACAGATTGCTACTTAGGAGGCACAGGTTTACTTTGTTAGGATGAAAGTTATTTAAGACAGGGCAACAGCTCCAGATTGATTAAATGGAGGTGGCAGACTGTCCTTGGAGACCTTCACCCCTTAGATAAGGAAGGCATGATTAACTTTGGCAGCAGACCTAATTCAAGCAGGAAATTAGATGAGATAGCCTCAGGAAATCCCTTCTGAATAGCAATTTTATTTAGTATTGAATATTTTCCAGATATTTGCAATCTATAATAACAAAATAACCAAAATCCCTCTCCTTCTAATATTCAGTGACACTGTTCTTAACATATTTGTTTTCCTCCTCCTATACGTATACCTGTATTTGTAATGCACATACATTTGCACTGACTGTCAGATATCACCAATTCAGTTACTCCAGAACAGCACTGTACTGAACTCAGCAGAGTAGATAGATTTTTCAACACAAGAGGAGAAGCGCACAATCTATTCAGTCAAAGCTACAACAGTTTTCCAAATTTATTCCTTCTTTGGCCAAAAGATCATAGGAAAGAAATGCTCAATCTCCTCCCTTCCTGGTCCCTGAACACACGGATGAAACTGCCTCAACTACAGCTGAAAGAACGACCACTGTGCAAAGAAACCACATGACCAAAATTCATATACTTTCTAAGTTAAATCAAAGCTCAAGAAAGTCCTAGAACTTCAGTATCATCTTTTCCCACATCATCTATTTAGATCCTCTCTTCCAAATTGCTTGAGAAACAAAAACAACCAGATACCCAGTTTCGCCTACCATAAAACTAACTTGTTGATGGTTTTGCCATGTGGAAACTTGAACCGTATCCACAAGTCGTTCTTACAGAAAGCAGCACTCCTCCAAACACAGCCATCTGTAAACAGACTTATTTCCTGGCCTGACTTTAAAGGCAACTAGATTGTGCAGTTAAACAGCCGGGTTTGTCACACTCACTGCTGCTTGAAAAACTCAGCATCCAAACAATTGTGGGAAATTGGCATTTTGGTTTATGAATGATAGCTGCATTGGCGTTGTTCTCCCCACTGAGAAAGGAATTTATTATTAATTCTGCTGCAAAGAAGACATTGCTGATGATAATGTAAAACATTTTCAATGTCAAACTTCATGTTCTCAAGTACTCGTTCTTCAGACAGTGCACATTTCAGATACCCATCAGGTTCTGTCCCAAGCGATTTCCAAGAAAACTCATCCTTCACTCTGACAACATCCATACATTTTTGCTCCTGGTTCCTGAAACTCCACTGTGAGCATGCTGTCATGTCTCATTCTCACTGGAGTATTTGACAATACTCACTAGAACAGCACACAACAGCAATAAGAGCATCCCAGGAAATTATATCCTAAAATGAAAACGGACTTATACTTTACATAATAGGTGTTAAGAATATCCATGCCCATCACTAAGTAATCCACAAATGCTCTGTCTACAATTTATTCATTCTCACTGTGTGTCTGCAAACTGTAGAATTCATCAGCTATTTAAAATAAAAAAAAAAAGTCAACCATATTCAGACTTTATTCTTATATCTCAGAGCACATCCATGGATTTCCAGGAGCTACAGACTCTCAAGGTAAAATGTAACTGGTAATATACTTGTTGAAGAGTTTAAGTATCTGCCTTAAATTAACAGCTCTGTAATTCACCCCTTCACACCCCACCCCCACCCCCCCCCAAAAAGAAAACAAAAAAACAACTAAATAGAAGCAAATAGAAAAACATGTGCACCCCTAAGACAAATAACTTCAGCAACTTCAGTAACTTCAGCAGGGTAACTTTTGGCCTTCTCTGGACAAGACAACTGTAACAAGAGCTTACAAAGCTGGCTTCCCACGTGCAGGTCTTCGGTGAAGCAAAGGTCAAGACAGACAAAGAATACAGGAGACATCAATACTATGTATATTCATTCCACATTAGAAGTAAAAAGATGCTTATTGCTTCAACATGGTTTACTGTGGTTCGGGATTTTCTGGATTAAACAAAGCGCACCTTGTAAAGTTTCTGCCTTGTGGCATCCCGTGATGCTGTGACTACTCCGAAAGTTAGCTCCAGTTGGTTTCCTCAAGTTGCATATGAAGATTACTCTCCTTAACAATCAGGGACTTACCCATTTCCATAAGATATATCTCAGCTGAAAATCTTTAACGTATGATACGTCAGGAGATGCTGCGGCTGAAACGACCATATGTTCTTACCTTGAACCTTCATGAAATGCTGAGCCTACAGTAGATTAAGCAGTATCATTTTCCAGAAGCGTAGCTCTTTCCAACAGATACCTGCATCCCACCACTCTTCCTGCTGTCTTGCTATCACACTTTCTTCTGTCCTCTTAAACAAGTTTCAGTTTTCATACTATGCATCTTTTGCATTACTTCTCTAAAACAAGACTTTACATTCTTGAAACGGAAACTATTCAGCAACCAAGCTTACAAGATTACATTCATCATCAGTACCATTCTTAATGATCTTTTCCAGTATGAAATCCAAAGCATGGTATAGAAACTCATCTTCCTCTAAAAATATTCCACCCATGGCCAAAAAAATCTGTTGTTACTGAGATATCAATAAAATTCTACACCGCTGAAAACCCCTCGGGACACTGCATAGACACGTGCATCTTCAGAACTCTTGCAGAATTTGTCAAGTAGCATTTCTAAGAGGAGCACTGCATGCTGATCTCATGTGTACTGATGCAGAACATCTCAGAGCTGTTCACACATTTGAATGATGTGCCTTGCACTAACATTCTGTTTTCAGCCCGAAACCACCAGTGCAGGTAACAGAGGCCAGGGTCTTAAAAAATAGACTCTGACCAGTGCTTTTACTGGATCTTCCTCCTGTGCTGATTCTTCAGAGTGCAGTTAAGAGGTAAGCTCAGCCAGCAGCGCTTCTGTCAGTGAAGGGCTGACATCACATTGTTCTGTGCAGATACATACTCAGAAGCCATTTTGACTAATCTGGTTCAAAAGATACTGGAGAACAGACATCAAAGCCAAAACGTGTTTCTGTAAGCCTAGTTTCTTAGGAGAACATGCTAAAAAGATGAACTAGAAATGAAAGGCTTATTTCTTGTGATGGCTGTACATCCATTCCAGTTCATAATCTTCACAATAGTTTTTATTCACTACTTCCATATATGCCAGTGTTCTCTGCTTGTGGTACTTTAAAAATCTTGTGCATCCATGCTTTTATAGCACACCATATTGAAGCAAGTCATATCCCAGATTTTGAGTCCTTTTACCATTTACTCTCATTTTCTTGGCACATGTCAGTCTGGATCCATATTCTCATTTTATGGAACAACATTCCCCAACAACTCAGTTTACACTGAGTGGGTCTTTGCTACTCCAAGTCCACACTACAATGAAGAAAGGCATAACATTCCTGTGATGCAGCTAGGCAAGTTCAGCACAGGCAAAGCAGCATCTGCAGCAGCGCTGTGTTAGCCTACTTGTATAGATTCTTAGCATACTGCCTGAAGCTTAGCAATGAGAGCACGAAGCTGACAACAAGCAGAAGACAGTTTAGCTTGGGAAGGTAAGAAACTAAGATATGGCCTACCTATTCCTCCATTAAACAGATATATAGGTACATAGAAGTGGAAAGGCAAAATTAAGGAAGGCGTCGTACTGGTAAGTATTTATTAACTCAACAGTTCATTAGACAAATACCTCAAAAAATGTTCAGCATATAAAGAGAACCATAGTTACAGGTGTACAGATATGACAAATGCAGATAAACAAACTACTGGAAGAGCAACAAATATTAAACCCCCCAAGTAGTATCTACACTAAGAAGCTGGAAAGATAAAAGCATTATACTTACAATAGACAGTCTTGAATCTCAGTGCTTCTTCTTTCTTTAGTAATGAAGATGCAAGTCATCCCAAAATAAAATAAGAAAAAGAAATTAATGTGCTGCGCCGTTTGAAGGAAAAATCCCGTACTTCTTGAGCAAAGCCTTTGCAGACAAATTACAATACAGGCCAAAGTTTCCATTATCAAATAGGAAAAAATGAGCCTTTATGATTATCTGCAAAAGCTCGAAGTACTGGCAAAAGCATACTTACAGTTAACATAAGGTAAATTTCAAGAAAGCCCTGGTATTAATGGAATTGTAAGACACCAGACAAAACTTTGGTTTCCACATGACTGCAGCCCCTAAGGTTCCAAAAACTGTAGTTCCAACAAGAAAAAACCTCACACAGAAAAGAATAACAAGCTAACAAAAAAATAGCTTTCCCAACATATTGGGTGGGTTTGTATAAAATTCCAGGATAGCCAAGTCTCCTGAAAGTTTATTCTGTCATGAAGAACGGGAAAAGTGGCTTTCATCAGCTGGATCCAGAACAGATCACTTTTTGGAAGCATCTGAGAAAAAGAGTAACTTAAATTTCCATTTTAAAACGTGGCTAAAACCAATACTGACTTATTTTTAGACCTTTTCAGCAAATATGTACAAACTTGGCACCAAAAAAAATGAAAAGAAGCGTCATCATTCACAGCAAGACAGTCGTTTACTCACGAGCACTTCATGGAGTTCAGTGCTCTATTTTCAGTACTCAGTGCCATGGAAGACATGTTGCATGTGAATGTGACAGCTCAATAACAATCAAGACTGACACAACAGTTTTGTCTCTTTTCAAGAAGCTAAACAGTTGATCTTTCACAGTAGCTAAAAACAAAATAGAGAAAAAAAGGAAGTCACTTCACCCCAGTAGCATCACAGATAGTGAGTGTGTGGTGCTGCATGAACTCAGCAGGATTCTGTAAGCTTGGAACACAGGGTCTTCCTTCCAGTTATACTGCCACAAGTACTTTTGTTATGCATAAACCACTTGTCATTCTACACCAATTTTACAATAAACAGCTGTTAATACCTGACATTTCAGAGATGCATTGAAAAATATTAGCAACTGCGAGCTGCTGTTGAAAGAAAGTTTCTTACTGACCACTTCTGGACAACCAATTTCAACTGCACTTAGATTATTGCTTTAACACTAAAAATGTTGTGACCCATCAGTTTCAAACTGTGGAACAAGTAAAACAGAACTTCTCCAGTGAGTGCTTTAAAAATAAAGGAAGAGGAAAACAAAAGAAAAAAAGAACAACAAAACTGTTTTGAGAATGAATATTCTCACATATTGAGAAACTTTTTCTCTGTCCTTGTGTAACAAGCAAATTGCAACAACCGTTTTTGAGCTAAGACTGTAAAAAGTTAGAGTAACTTTTAACAAAGTGTCTAACTGTGAGAAGTCAAAACTCAAAAACTGCTGTTCCAACCTCCTAGACACATTTTAAGATTAGTCTCCACACATTCCAAGGTCAAGGGTTATCAAACAAAACACTGTTTCACATGCTGTTAATTATGTAAACATCATTTAACTCTTCCTAAATACATACACCCTTGAAATCACATAAGCTACATTAGCAGCGAATTAACAGAAACTCCATTTATTCAACAGAACAGCTTAAGTTGGAAGGGCCCTCAAAGCCCACCCTCCCCACCCCGTGCCATGGGCAGGCTGCCCCCCACAGCTCAGCTGCCCAGGGCCCCACCCAACCAGGCCTTGAGCCTTCAGGAAGGGGACACCACAGCTTCTCTGGGCAGCTGCGCCAGCGCCTCACCGCCCTCTGAACAAAGTTCCCCCAAATATCTAACCTACATCTCCTCTCTTTTGGTCTAAAGCCATTTCCCCCTTTCCTTTCACTAAAAGCTGGTCTCTCTCCTGTTTATAAGCTCCTCTCAGGTACTGGAAAGACACAATGAGGTCCCAAAGCTTTCTCTTCTCCAGGCTGAACAAGCCCAGCTCCTTCAGCCTGTCATCACAGGACAGATTCTCCAGCCCTCTGATCATCTTCACCATCCTCCTGTGGACCCACTCCAACAGCACAAATGCCTTTCTTGTGCTGATGGCCCCAGGCCTGGACACGGTACTCCAGATACAGCCTCACGAGGGCAGAGTAGAGGAGGACAATCAATTCCCTCACCCTGCTGGTCACTCCTCTTTTGATGCAGCCCAGGAAACATTTGGCCTTCCCAGATGCAAGAGCACACAGCTGGCTCACTGTTAAGCCTTTTGCCCATCAGGTCCCCCATGTCCCTCTCCAAAGGACTGCATTCAATGAGTTCTTCTCCCAGTTTGCACATATATCTGCAACTGCTCTGACCCAAGTGCAACATCACACACTTGGCCTCGTTGAACGTCAGAAAATACCCATGTGCCCACTTCTCAAGCCTGCCCAGTTCCCTCTCATGGCATTCCTCCCTTCTATTGCATCCAATGCACCACTCAGCATGGTGTCATCTGCAAACTTGCTGAGGGTGCACTCAATCCCACTGCCTACATCACTGAAAAAAACGTTCAAAAAAACTGGTCCCAAGACTTCCATTCATCACCAGTCTCCACTTGTATATAGACCCATTGACCATAACCCACTGGCTGCAACCAGCCAACCAATTCTTTATCCACCACCTTCATCCAGCCTTCAAATCTCCCTTATCTCCCTAGCTGATAGATAAGGAGGTATTACAGGCTCACATTATAGGCCTTGCAGAAGTCCAGATCAACAACATCAGTTGCTCTTCTTTTGTCCACCAATGCCTTTGCTCCTTTACAGAGATTGGTTGGGCACGATCTGCCTTTGCTGAAATTATGTTGGCTGTCTCATATCTCCTCTTCATCTCATACATGCCTTCACATAGCTTCCAAGAGGATCTGCTCCATGATCTTCCCAGGCACAGATGTGAGGCTCATCAGCCTGTACTTCCTCAGTTCTTCCTTCCTCCCTTTCTTAAAAATGGGAGTGATGTTTTGTTTTACTCAGTCATGGAGATCCTTGCCTGAGAGCCACAATTTTTCAAGCACGATGGAGAATAACTTGGCAATCATATCAGCCAGTTCCTTCGGGATCCTGGGATGCATGACATCTGGACCCACTGATGTGTACATACCCAGGCTCATGCGATGCTCTCAGACTTGCTCCACTCTCACAGTGGGACAGATTTTGCATCCCCCAAAACTCGTTCAGAGGACACAATAACACAATAGGCTCAGGAAGACTGACAGCCAGCTAAGACCAAGGCAAAGAAGTCACTGAGTACTTCAGCCTTCTCTATATCCATTGCAACCACTTCTTCCTTCTCATTTATCAAAGGGGGTACACTCGGCCCGTCTCTTTTGATCAATATACCTATAGAATTCCTTTTTTTCATATCTCTCACCGAGCACAGCTCCATCTGTGCCCAGATTCATCCCTGTATTCTAAACAGGCCACCCATTCCTGCTTCTGCTGCCTGTACTGTTCCTTCTTTTCCCTTCAGTAAGTCCTTACTCAGGCACACCAGTTTCCTTCCTCCTCCACACAATTTCCTGTGGTGGGGGTTGAAGAGCTCTTGTGCTCTCAGAAAGGCATCCTTAAAGAGTTGTCAGCTCCTCTCCTTTGCCCCCAAGCTTCCCAGGAGATCACATCCAATAATTCCTTAATCAGCCTGAAGTTCCCAAAGTTCAGGGTCTCCACTTTGCTTTTGACCAGGCCCATATTCCTAGAGCTCACTAACTTGACCAAGGCATGATTGCTACAGCATTAACTGTCTCCAATCTTAACTTCTTTAACAATCTCCTCCACTATCTCCTCCTGGCAAGCACCAGATTGAGGAACACTTCTCCTCTGGCTGGTCTATCCAATACCTGGATCAGGAAGTTATCTTCAATAGACTCCGGGAGTCTCCTGGATTGCTTGCAGTGTGAGGTTGACACAAACATATTTTTTGTGTAGGAAAAGTTCTACAGTTTAATCATGAAGATAAGCTACAGAGGTTCACAGTGTACTAAGCACTTGATACACTTCACAAACACCATAATGTCAAGGCAAGTTTCCAGTATCTGAAACCTGTGTTACTAACCCAAGAATTAAAATAAATGCTTTTTCCAAGCACAGTTGATTTTAATACCATGCCAAAGGATATGTAAATTGCCACACGTTGGGTATTTTCAATCAACAGTTCTGATGCATGACAACCAGTGGCAAAAGGCAGAGCAGAATCAAGAATACATAAATGGTGAAGAAAAAAGCCTAACAATTTCTCATTTCTAATGAGGTCGCGAAGTCCTGAATCCAGATTCTTCTCTTGAATTTGAGCGTTCCTACTCTCCCAAAATAGGATGGGAAGACAGAAAGTGGGAATCCTTGATATAATCAGGAGAATCTTCATCTGTGCTCCAAAGGCAGCTAATAGAAGAGGCAATGCTTACTCTATTGGGACCATCCATACAAAGAACTGCTCAAAACACAGGGGGAAAAAAAAAAAAAAAAAAGACACTCCACTCCAGAATTTCCTCTCTAGCACAATATTCCTGTTACTCTTGGTACAATGAGAAATACGACTGAACTTACATAAAACTGTATTGTCTAACCAGTTTACAATAAACGTTCAACTGTTTTCAAAGTAGATACATAATACAAGCTAATTCCAACTTCCTAAGAGCTAAGAACTTCATGAAAAATACATGAATACCACTCTAATCCTCCCTCCACCAATATTCGTTCATCAATGAAACCACAAAGCCTGTCAGTATGCAACTATACAAAAGTAGTAAGACACTCAAAATGTAAGATATACACAGCCTTGCATTGCAACCATCCCAATTTCAATCTTTTTACACTGGTAGTTTTTACAGGATTTAGGCCTTGTGAATTACCAGCATTAGGTGTGTACTCTGCTTATTCTCCTGCATAAGGACAGGAAGCATCACCTTCATCAATACAGAAGTTAGTGCAAAAAAACCAAACTGGTTAAGGAATATAAACAAAGCACTATTCATTATCAATATGTAGTCTTAAGAAGAACTTAAGCTTAGCACTTTTATGGTGGCCTCATGCTTGGTGATATTAAGACTTCTTTTGGTATCTCAATGAATTTTGATCTTCTACGATCTCACAATTAAAAGTAAGGCATTAAAAGTACTTGAAAACAATGACAGTGTGTCCTCGCAGACTTATTCCTATAGAAATGTAGCCATGTGACGTACCAGGACTCCATACCAGCACTGACATTCAACACCTAATAATCACCCAGTTTCCAACATGTCTGATGCTTGCTCACTATCAGTTCATATCCATCATTAGCTCAATAAATTTAAAAGAACGTAGCTAAGGCTAGAGTGATTTACTCATATTGAAGAGAAGGAAAGCAATACGTGGATTTGCTGCGAGAACTGGCACTGGTTTTTCGGCTTTAAAAAGGAGAAACAGCAGTAATTTGATCACTATGAGGGTTAGCTAAGAAATAAAAAGAAACAACCACAAAACCAAAAGAACTTCTTGAATCAGCAAGAATACTGGACAGGACATGAAAAATACTACCATACTACAGATTTCTGTTGGTTCAACAAAGAACACTATGACCGAATCCTGGGAGAAAGCATTTGGAGAGCCATGGACCCAAATATTGCTTATGCATCACACTACTGAAATGATTAGCTAGCAGGTTATGAAATACTACTGAACAGCTCTGAAAGCCAAACTGTAAAAAATGCCCTTCCTCTGCAAATGAAAGGGGAGCCTGAATACTTGAGAAAAAAGGCACTGCAGTAAGCCTTGTGTTCTGGCAAGAATAAAAGATCATCAGGAAAACATCACAGCAGACACTTTTAAGTGCCGCCACAACACAATATGATGACAGCCATCTTCTGTAACAGGGAAAAGAATGGACAAACAAACACGCCCCAGCTTTACTCATTTTAAAATTTTCTTCTCAGTCTCAGATAACTGTCAGTCATGCAGTTAAAAGCTCAGTCAAACAGCATTTGGAAAGGTCTTTTCTCAACACGTCCCCACAGAATACTGTCTAGCAATGTAAGCAAAATACAAGGAAAAGTAGCAAAATATGAAGCTGCCATTTGAGATGCTTCAAGAAAATGGAGCGAACTCCCGTAGGAAATCTGAACTGGCGTTACCACGTATAAACAAAGTTCATGCTCCAAGCAAGCTGGTTTTCTTCAAAGTACAAGCGAGTTATGCAGTCTTGGAAAACACAGCAGTACATTCATTAACTACACCCAAATTCAAAGTCTGCACTCTTACCATGTGTGACTTCTGTACAACTCAAAACACAATTTCACATTTAATACGCATTTGCCTTCAGAGTAACTACTGATGTTGCAAGTTACAAACTAAACAGAGTTGAGTCTCCAACCTCAAAGTCTTGTTCTTGGGATTTTTTCATGGGAACAGCTGCTACAGATCTACAGATGGGTTAGACAAGCACTTGAATACTTGTGAAATCAAATACTATTATAAGAATCCCAGGTTTAAGATTAAATTAACATAAACATGTAATATGGAAAGAAGTTACCTTTCTATGCTTCATACCACGATAGTGTGACTGAAGACTTATAGAACTCATACATGGAACTTTACAAACCTAAAAAGATAAATTGAAAGCACATCTTCAGTTATGCTGTGGATATTTTGTAGTTGGCAAGGTGTAAGACTTGGAAATATAATTTTACATTAAGATGCTGGAAGTCTTTTATGACTTAAACGGAGCAGTTTAAATTACATCAGGAGTGTGCCACCAAAATGACCAGAAACAGTGTGCAAACCTGTTCAAATAATACTTCAATATATATTTAAGTATACTGGCTGGCATGAATCTTTGCGAAGCCTACACTTTCCCTCCTACCCTCAATTACTGGATTCTTAGTTCTCCAAAATTCTCCAGCCAATAAGAAATGATCATACATTGATTAGAAAGGATTGGAGACCAAAAAATATATCCCGGAATAACTGGAACCCCATTCATCATCTTATCAAAGGGATCAGAAAAACAGCAAAGGAAGCCATCTGCGCTAGGATCCACAGAACATCGTAACAATTATAGGATATAGCTTGACAATTATTTCCTTCAATCATTAACAATAGAAAGCAATGATACAAAAAAAAAAAAAAAAACAAAAACAATATACGATAGCATTACCTATCACCTTGACATGCTGTCATATACCTTCAATATGCCAGAAAAAGTTACTGGAACAATATGTGATACATAGAAACTTAACATGCTCTGATCCAGAGCAGCATCCTTTAAGACATAAGAGACTTTAAGAGGTCCTGTAAGAATAACAAACAGAAATCTGAAAGACAGCCTTTAAGGGCCACTACAGTATACCTGTAACTGCACAAGAACAAACCAAATTCACAAAACCAGACAAGCAGTTCTTCCAGGAACCGGCCAAATTATCTTCTATCATTAACAGCCTCTCCCACCAGCCTGCCACACTGCAGCTCGGTCAGTTCTGTCTAACTTCCGTGGTTTTTAATACCTTAAGCCTGTATTCTGGCATGTATTCCAAAAAGCCATTAAGAAAGGCACTCACTTCACAGTAGTATATTTTTTTTTCAGATTCTGGTTTAGCATCTTCTGGCTTAGCATCTTCAGCGATGGCGCTCATCCTGCAGAACTATTTCAAGACACACAATTAAAGAAAGAAATCCATAATAAAAAATAATATTCCTGTTCACACACAACCCTTTAGCAGACAATTGCGGGGAAGGAGCAAAGCATTAATTCCTTTCTAGAGCCAACCACGTATTTCACTGCCAGGACATCGCCGCAGCCTCAAGCCTTCCGTTAGGGCACCTTCCCGCTTAGCTTCACACCAAACGCTTCACACAGAAGACAGAAAAAAAAAGAAAACACACCGACCCCGGGCTGCCCATTTCTCCCCATTCCTCCCCCTCCCACCCCCCCCCTCCCGCCGCACACACCCCCCCGCCCGCGCCCGTCCCCTCATGGCACTGAAGAAGCGGCGGTACCTCCGAGCCGCTCCCACCCCCGGCGCTGGGCTCGCACGCCGCCGGCACGTCCCCAGGCGGCTCGGTAACGACAGCAACCGCCGCCAGCCTTCTCGCGGCGCGCCCAGCGGCACCGTCACTTCCGCTTCCTGCCGGCGGAGAGAGCGCCCCAACCCCGCGCGGCCGGCGCGCGCCCTTTCCGTTAGACGGACGCGGTCCGCGAGGCGCGAGGCCGCGCCAATCGGCTCAGCCAATCGGGGCGCGGCTCCCTCAGGCGCGGGAGAGGCGGGAGGAACGGACGGCAGGGCTTGGCTTTAAATGCAAATATTTATTATTTCTTTTAAAATGTCTGAACTTTACATTTCGGACTGGTAATAAATGTAAAATATAATTTAAGAAATACACATGAAAGTTACCTCTAAAAGCAGACTGAGAAAACAGTACAATAATAAAAAAAAAAAAAAATCAAACAAAAAAACAAAGAAACAAAAAACCCCCCACAAAACAGAAAAGTGCACCTGTTACAACAAAATTCCAACATACAAAATCCACGCATTTAATTAGCCTGCTGCCGATACACCTGGGGGGTCTATTACAACTATATAGGAAGCAGCATAGTTGCTGCTGGTTGGATTACACGTTAGCAGAGGATCCCAGCTCCAGGCTTTGCTGATGCCCCTCCCCGCAGTTCCATGAGTGCATCAGCCTTACGCCTGCTCCGTGCACCCACTGGTGCGTGCTCACACAGTGCTCAGCACGGGGCTTGGTCCTTCCAGGGCTTTGCCCATAACATTGGGCTCACGTAATACCCATCTGATGGGGAGAAGCAGTCAGGCCAAGTGTTGCTTGGTCTCTGTGCTCATTTTATTTAGTCTTGTCCTCTACTGTTTGGACTTAGGAGGAACAAGAATGGCACTTTTAATTTTTTATTTTTATTTTTTTATGGCTAACAGCAGATTTTGATACCGTATTTTATTATTTCTACGTTTCTGTAACAGTTACAGGCCTTAAGATGGGGTCACATTGAAGCCCTCAATAATTCTTTGCAGCTCTGATTCCAAAACCTAAAATGGACTGATAGGAAACACTGCTCTGTACACTCTAAACAATACTTCCATACTCATCTTTTAGAAAATTACATATTAAAAGTGCAACTGCACAGTGAAAGGATGAAGGCGTGTAGGAAAGAAACGAAGGATCCAAAAAGAAGAAAGTGGGCTCCTTCATTTCTGTAAAGAGAGGGCAGGTCTGAACGCAAAAGCGTTTGGCAGTGTATACTTGAAGAATTAAACTCCTGGTGGCAGCTCAAGTGCTTCTTGGCAATACAGCTGCCTAAGTAGGGTAAGCTTCCCCAGCAAAAGAACTTTTTTCTGTTTTATGAGCTGTAATTACTCCAAGACTTCTGTCAGTACCTCTGTCTTCTTCAAAGGGGACAGGGAAGGTAATGGGGCATTGCACTTCTGCATAACGTTGTTCTTTTGGCAAAGCTTTGAAAGTGTGCCTGAAGTAGATAATAAAGTTATGGAGGCACAAAACAGAAAGAGTGGAGGCTGCAAAGTACCATCCTATCACAAATCACAAAGGTAGAAAACCTTGAGGGAGAAAAAGGAGAAGTTTTTCAATAGGTACAGACACCTTTAAGGAAGAAAGGGTTCTTTGGTTTCGTTAGGAACCTGTGAAGAGGTAAAGGAGTGTGAAGAAAAGCCCTTTCAGAAGAGGGAACGCTGCTAGTCATGTAGAGGAAGAATCTTCCAGAGTATCCAACCCTGCCCACATCAGGGAGGTTGGAACTAGATGATCATTAAGATCCCTTCCAACCCAAGCCTTTCTATGATTCTATGACTATGATGAAAGTAGAGCAAAAAAAAACACACAGTGTTGCTGCTTGCCTCCCATTGCCTCAGATTTTAAGTAAACACAGGAAGAAAATGATGCAAAAATTTAAAAAAAAAAAAAAAATGATGAAGAAGAAGAAGAAAGAAAAAAAGTTCAGAAGTGACAGTAATGGGATAAGGAAGGAAGAAACCAAGGTGTGACCTAAGAAGAAGCAGAACAGTGGTGACACACCTGTGACACTCTCCTGTGCAAAATGGAGAGTTCTAAACCAGAACCTCATCTGATTTTTTAACATAGTCTTTTAATTAATTGACTGAAATTACTGAGATTAGCTATGAAACTGATGCTCTTTATATTGCCTTCTGCCACGTGTTTGTGTTTTCCTCATACTTAGGCACTGGAAAACCATAATTCTACCAATACAAGTGTGAAAAGGAAGTTTTGAATGTTGTACAGCTGTCACTGCAACTGTGTCGCAACAAGGAAATTCTGGGATTCCAATTCAGGCTGCACAACCAGAGCACCAAGTGACAGTTCAGTCGCAATGACCAGCTGCAAGGGTGTTAATGCAGACACTAAATTTGTCATAGTTCCAAAGAGTAACTCCGTGCAAGGAAGAGGAGCACTGCATGCCTCCTAGAATGATGCTTTCAGTCTGATGGAGAAACACACCCTAGCACTGAATGACCTCAATCCTTGTTTTCAAGGAGCACAGAATTGCTGGCAATGAATTAATGCTGTAGTCACAAAACACCTTGACAGCAATGTGTCATTCAAGGTGATAATTCTTCATCCTCAGATTTGTCTTAGTAATAATGTTTTACTCTTTCTCCCCAAACACTGTCATTGATGATGTTGTTCAGTGCTGTTAATTGAAGTATGCACTTCAAACTACATTTGAATTTCTATCTAAATTCAAAATAAATTTAAAGAAATTGGAATCTATCTCAATTTAAATCCCTACACAACTTCTAATGTGATAAAACTTGTAATTCAGTTAAATTTTATCAATGCATACTCCACAGTTCCAGAAACACTGTTCGTCATATTTGACTTGCTTCAGATTTCAGAGTATCTGAGAGCAGTTTGTTACGAGCAAAGACAAATCTAAAAACTAAGAATATCAATTCTGAGAAAATGTCACTCAGGCCAGCATATAGAACACAGTTCTCTACAGGTAAAAAAGCAATGTGATAGGTGAGAGAAAGAAGAGAAGAAAAGGACATGGTATGTTTGCAGGGGGAGGGAAGTAGTTATGATAGTATCATGGGGCAATGTGTGAATATGTGCCACTTGGATTCAAAGTGTACTTGTCAGGATGATGGCATCTATGAACATGAGCTACTGGTAGCCTTCACCTATGAGTCATGTTCGGCTAAATGAGAGCCATGTGGCTAAACCCTGAGCATGGCCACCTGCAGAACTTCTAATGCACATATTACAGAAGTCTGCTTCAGTTACAACACGAGATTTCATAGAGGATTTTACAAGACTTAAGAGAGGAAGAAAATCCAGGGGAAGAAACTTATTTTCTAGTGAGTGAACTGAAGGAAAAGACAAAAAATAAAGTAGGAAAGCTCTATACATCTATCACTGAGCTGGGATCTTAGTTACATGACACACCAACGAAAGAAAATGAGTAAGGGTTTATTTTGTGACTACCTGAGGCAATATATGTATTTATAGATAGAAGAAATTATATCTTTTTCTTGTTTCAATTAAAATATCTTTTTTTTTCTTTTTTTTTTTTTTTTTAGATAAATTAATGGCTTTTATGAAATAAATACCCTGGGTGGGTTGTTCTACTTAAGTTCCAATATGGCTTCAACAGAAAGAGTTAAGCAGGGCTTCCAAGCAGCAGAAGCTGATTCTATCCCACCGACAATTCCTTGCCTCAGGCTGGATGCTTTCCACATAAGTATTTTAAGCACTGGGAACTTCCAGGAGAATTGCACATGCCCTGTCAATGTTAATACTATCTCAAGGATCATAAGAAGAAGTCATTCTGAACTGGCTGACACACAAACGTCAGACCTCCCTAAGCCATCCAGAGGACACTGAGACTCAATTCTAAGGATTTCAATATATCAGTGTTATCTAATTAAGGGCAATGAAAACATTAACACATTATAATCAAGTACTAGGAAGTCAGTCTGTCCTACAAAGAATTTAGGTATAGCTGTTTGCTCTTCTATTTCACTAGTTAGATCTCCAGACTGTGGACCAACTGAAAGCAGGTCGTTCCTTGCACACACACTGCTCTCTCTTTAGATTCCCAAAACAAAGTTCTGTTTTGGTATCCTAAGAGTCTGGATTAAATATAAATTATTGATAGTGTTACCTACAGTGAAGGTCTGCCCCAGTTTCAGTCACTGGTCTTAACTGCATCCTGGCAAACCTTAGAATAGCCAAAAAACTCCACTCTGTGGTACACACTTACCCTTAGCTCAAATCAGGCTAGTTTTTAAGTAAAAACAGGAGGTTTAAGTGGTATGCTTTAATTGGACCAGTATTTGTAAGGTTCTGTGCAGCTGTCTGCTAATAGGTAAATTAGGCCAAATTCACAGTGAAGGCAATAGCTTTAGCACTGATAATAATCTCTGCTGTCTGTGGTCTAAGTAACACCTCAGAGGCAGATGCACTCTCAGACAACTACAAAAAAACACACACACAAAAAAATCACATAAATCCAAGAAAGCAAACCACCAATCCTCTGAATACCAGAATTAAGAAGTTTGTTCTGCCTCCGATTGAAGAATTTACAGCTGAGGAAGTTTGAATGATACTGTCAGCCAGATCTTAGAAAGCATCACATCCACACTGGAAAAAGAAATGCATTTCTTTCAGCCTGAATACTCTGTGTTTGCAGCACACAAGCATTTCACTGGGCATTTCTTCTATGAGAGGAATTTTTTTCTTCGTACAATAAATACACTGGGAGGCTCCTAAAACAGATCTCAGGGCTGTGCTTGGAGGATATAAATACCAACTTACTAAGGATAAAAGCCAAACATCACTGACTGGAAGCATCTTAAACTCTTCTTTTCTAAGCGGTAGTTTTTAAAGGAGTACCAATAGTACCAAAACAGCGACCACTACAAAGAGAAAGTAACAATTTAAAGCAACTGCCCTGTCTTTTTCTTCTGCCATGGAATCATTAATGCCTGGGTACAAAAAGGTTTTATAACAATAAATTATTGGTAATTTAACAGGGTACAATGCAATGTCAGATTTTAATCCAGAGGGGATGAAGGACAGATTCCTGCTC